ATGGCAACAAGGAAAATGATCTATTATTTGATAAAGATTTAATAATCAACTAATAGAATGTTATAGCACTAGAGTAGATGTATTGGATTATCAAAGTGTTGATGTAGTGGACTATCAAAATATTTACCAAATAAATAATTAATTAATATGTAAATGTGTAACAATGTTATAATAATCCTGTGTAGCACAGTAGTTGGTTATAAAGTTTCAACTGATTATACCTTGTAAAATCACCAAAAAAAAAATTGTTTTTATTGGCCGCACAGTCTGGGTATAATTAAATACTATTCTAAAAAAAATATTTGATTGAATTAGTCTTGATAATCGACTGTGATAGAGTAATCACTAATAGTCTCAAATAATTGAATTATTTCACGTAATAACTACTAAATTCACTTGTTCAGTAAGATGCTTATTAAGTTCGCTTTCAATGACGCAAAACTCAGTTACAATATATATGCAGAAACTAAAAAAAAATAATTCTTATCCCCAATACCTTCAGTCTATATTAGAAATCAACAATAATACTATTCAACACAGATTAAATAAAGATATAGTGTTGAATCAATTAGTGTATCACCAAATGATATTACAATGATCCTTCGCCAATCAACTAATGATTGACTTATTATTTTTGGTATACAATACAATTTCTATTACCCACAACTATACTTTTGTTATAGTGATTATACTTGATGATGATCAAATGTGAATGGGTAGATCAAATGTTAAACTCAAATTGAAATAACTTTGACACTTGATAATGATGTGTATATGATTAATTATGGCACTTCCTGATGATGGTGGTACTGAACTTCCGTGTAATATAACACCCACAATTTTTTAAAATGATCCAAAAAATAATATAGAATTTCAATACAATTTGCCAATATTTATAAATAAAAAGAAATAATGTAAAGAATAAATAGGAAAATACAAAATAATATCAAAAACACCAATATAACAATATTAATAGATAAAGTAGATGTCAATGAATGCACCAATGTAAATTATAAATAAATAATATTGATAATTATAATAAATAATTGAATCACCAGAAAAATAAATCAAAAATAAATTTAATAATCAATGTATATTGTTGTGCTGATCTAGTTGACTGTCCTGAAGTTGACCTGAAGCTGATTCTGCGATGGCTGTTGCTTTCTTGAAGGTTGTTTCGTTGAAGCTTGTCTGTTGAATATGCTACTGCTACTTTTAAATACTAAAGAAATGATAATTTGATATGGTTAATTGAAATTAACACACCTTAGTAATGATTTCATGAACTGGGCACTGAAACCAATTAATACCGCACAGTTTATCTGCTCACACTAGTAATTTCGGCATTGAATGCACACCAATTAAGGAATTGTTCAGTGAAATATTTATTACAGAAACTGTATACTGTTTGTGGTACTGTTCACTGTACTATAGGTTTCATAAACTGGATATTTATCATTGAGTAGTTCAACTGGTATCTACACACTTCAATAGTACCTTGTTAACTGTAGACACTAAAATAGTTCACTGCTAGCTACACACTTCAATAGTACATTGTTAATTGTAGACAAATAGTTCACTGCTAGCTACTGCTACACACTTCAATCAATACTTAGATTTGCACCGACCAATTTGATGCTTTTCCTGTCGACTGAATGTGTTTAGGACGTAGGAAAGCTTTATTGTTATCGCTTTCTTGTGATATGTGCGATTACACGATGAACTTGAAGCATCATTGATCACGAGACATTAATGAGTGCTGATCTTGAGGTTTTGTAGACTTGTCATACTGCAGTTTTCCTATTGACTGGTTTGCCACGACTGAAAATGTAGAGCTGCGACACAAATACCCAGTGTCAGAGCTGTGGTTCTTTTTGATTTCTGTACAGTTAACACTCTATCCGGTGTTTCACTGTCTTTCTATGTTTTGAAAAACAGATCCGAAAAACAGGATCTGGTGTCGACGCTTCTCTGTGTTGTTCAGTGTAGATTTCCCACTACACTTTACCACACTTTAGTCGGCAGCAAAATTTGATCAAACAACAAGGCTTTGGAAGTTTTGCAGAGGGGCAGTCCTAGTCTCACATCATCTCTGTGTAGACTTACGGTTGTATTCCTTTGCTACAATCAATGAATGCTCTTTGACACCGTCACTGTCTGCAATCTTTCCTTCGCATCTTAGTTGATTGTTGATTACTTGGTCGAAACTTAAAACGTGGACTTGTCTATCAGTATTCAAAGCCTGGAATTTGTCCGAACGTTGTTCAATCTGTGAACTATCGAATATGGGTTGTTGTTATTTCGCCATCGATCTTCCCCGCTTACGTTCGTATGTTGAACTGGTACTACCTGACGTCAGGTTGATAACTAAACACCTTTCGATGTCTCAGATTTTTCAGTTCGAAACAACTTTCCTATCCTCAAATGTTTGGACGAGTTCCCCATCTGCGATGATTCTCTTTTATCTTCTACTGGCTCGCCTCATCGCACGCTCGCTGCCAACTCACAAAACCGACATCACACGTCGAGCAGAAAAAATGGACGACTGGGAAACAACACGATACTGTTCCAGTACTTTATTCTTCCACTCGCGGCTTACACAGCCGGCACATGAACTTGACAACTGTCCAGGCACACATTATAATGCAAGAATCAATTATTACCTTCAAGCAGAAATCCCAATCGATTTACACTAACATCGTAAACGAAACACAACAGCTGTCCTGACAGATACACTCAGACGACCGGCAGACATGTTACTGGCCAGCTTTCTTCGCCAAGTTGGACTGGAACAAATTCACTCAAAAACATCTGCTGAATTCACACATCATCCACCGCTGTCCATGCACACTGTTCCTGGGTCCAAAACGAGACTGCCCACAAACCTTTTCCTCGCTATTATATAGCCCTCTGATCTCTGATTCTAGAATATTCTGGATTCATTCTCACGAATTTCCCACTGTTGAAAGTTGTGTCTGGCCCGTGATAATTCACATTTCACACAAATCCTGTGAACAATCATGTTTCACATAAAACCTGACTTTCCGATGTCTCTCATGAAACTCAAGACATAAATCTCGTGTTATCTCAACCAGTCAAAACATCTTTATATTATATGCGCAACATTACTAACAAATGTTCAATAAACGTGTTGTTACTAAACAATTAATATTCAAATAAAATAAATGTTGTATAATGTGATGGTATGAAAGTTATGATGTGAAAGTGATAATGAGGAATGGTGTATGAATTCAAAATAACACTGAGGGATGGTGTATGAGTTCATAATAAAACAACAGACACATTAGGTTATAATAGAAATTTTATTAACAGTAAATTACAGATATAGAAATTTGGAAATATCTATGATATAGTGTACAAACAGAAAATGAAATTGCCACAATGCTAAAATGAGTAAATTCTGGCAAAGCTTTGGTATAAACCATGGTGAATGACGAAGACCAACAAGGAGTAGCAATCACTTTGAATGAACTGTCAACAGGAACTTGGTTCTATGGGGGACATACAGAACTGTGTGATTTATAAGTCTGGTTTTGGAGCCATTTTTGGACTTCCGCGTTGTTGAGGAACGCTTTGGGGTGTTGTTCAGTCTTCTTTAGGTAGACTGACTTCAGGACTTGATAAGTACGTCACAGAGCCTATAAGGTCATCCGCGTTGTTGAGGAACGCTTTGGGGAGGTGATTCTGTTAGCATATTGCCAAGAACTGTCAAGGGGAGTGACAAGAGATGCTGCATATGTGGTACAAGTCAGAGAACCAATGGTAGAATTCCAGCCAACAGTAAACATATTAGTAAAATAAGGCAATATATTCTTAAATGGAAATTTATATAGGTTATGGGAAAAAAAAATATTGCATATTTTTTTGTTTAAGGGGAGGAGAGATGTAATGATGTTATAAATAGGGATAATGTCAGGGGATGATTGGCATAACTGGGGAAGTCCCTGAGAGCATGTGTTTCACGGAGATATGGTGAAACGACAGGAAAGAGTGTGTCACGTGTGAATGAGGAGATCTGGGGGATTGAGAATCAGGCGGGCATTCGGTGACTGGGCCCCAGAGAGAAAGGATGGAAAATGAAGCTGTGAAGATGAATGGAGAATGACTAGAGCATGTGGATTTGAATCGGCGAGGAATGAATGATCGAGAAGGCCAGCTGTGAATGGTACCCTGTTTGATTGTCAAAGCCAGCTGTGAATATGTCAACGTCTATTGTCCGAATGCTGTAAGTGGATTCACCTGTGATTTGTGTATTGAGCTAACGTGTAAATAAACTCGTGAAATGTGCCGCTGGTGTTAACCGTTGTTAGACGTTGTGTGACCGTGAAGATGATCAAGTCTGCAGTGATTGAGTTGTGAACCTCTAGATGTCAGAGCCAGTGTTAACTCTGCACCACAGATAGCCAGTGTGGAGGAGACACAAAAGGGCAGTCATTACACCCGGCTTACTGCTGCTTTTAACGACCCCAAAATATCTAGAACTGGGCCTAACCCCAACCAACCTACGTCCCACGAGAGAGTGCAGCCTAGGTCCCATGACTGCATGCAGCCTAGGTCCCATGACTGCATGCAGCCTATCTACCGCCCCCTGAAATATTAGACTGCACCGTGACCTGTGGATTTCCCCTGTTTGAGGTAGGATATAAATTAAGCACCGAGAAGTCTATTCTATAATTCAATATTTCATGTGTAGCAGCAGCTGATTACACCACTGCTGGCTTGCTAGGCCCGTTGCATGGTGGGGCAGGAAAAAAAATCTGACCTGGTTGGTGCCTCTCTCCTTTCAAGCAAGCCACTGCCTCGTTAGCCTGAAACCTTGTGGCTTCAGTTTTCCATTTGTTCCACTGCATGTTTAAATATGTTGAACCACCACCCAAGCCAATGTAGAAGTTAAAGACAAAAACTCCCTCCTAAAGTATGATTTCTAATATAAACACCTATGCTTAATTAGATTCACTATTAACTTTTCCTTTGCTTACCTCTGCCGTTGTTTTCAGTTTCTCTACAGCAATCCAAAATCTGTGAATAAATTGAACACACTATATAGTTATTTAAGTTTCCACACACTTTCTTTGTCAGGGCAGCCTATTTTTACAATTTGAAAATTAGTTTTAAAATGTGAAAAGTTATCTTGTGACACTAACAATGATAGAAATATGTTGACTGATGATGACACAGTTCATGCCAGATATCAGGATTCTCCAACAATGTGAACATGCTTCAAACAGTCCTTAGCATTTTACCAAAGTCATAAATGAGATGGTAAGATACCAGAACACACCTTTATTTGTAAGCATTTTCCAATAATTCAACAAACTTCAGCCCTTACCCAAGAAAGGATTCAGCTCCCTCTTTCTTTAAAAACTTCATGAAGTATTCTCTCCCTTTGGGCATTTCCAGAATCACAGAGAAGGAAAACACCTGCAATTAGCAAATATTAAAAAAGTTAAACGGTGTTTAACGGAAAAACCTACAAGAGTCACTAAAACACCTGCATTCACCAAGAGAACAATGAAGTTCTGAAAGTTAAAACCACTACCTTCAAAGCATTAAGCAAACGTTTTCACCACTTCACCAGGGAGGATAAGAAACATACATGAATGAAATGTTTTACTGGCTCATTCCGTCTGAACAACTCACCAGGTCTGGTCAGTCATTGTCCAGGTGAAACAAAGAGCACTTTTTGTGCTGAAAACAGCATTTGGATTTTACATGAGGAGTCTGATTAAATACTGAGCTGAAGTTGCGAAGATGCTTGAAGCTTCCCGGCGGGTTTTTTGTGACATGATGCTACCAAAAGTTAGTTGCGAATGCTTTATAGGAAGTTGCAGAACCAACCCTCGCATTTTTTGCTGTTGTGGTTTTCTAGGCAAGTTTTACGTTCAGTAGTTTGCCACTGCTTTCTAAATGGTCAGCGCTCAGTACACTGTCGAAACAAACGCAAGACAAATCGTCCCCTGCTGGGGATCGAAACCTACACTCCGGCATTACGAAGTGTATTCGCAACACCTAAGCCACAGACCTCGATGAAGTATAAGACTGGGTTAGCCACAGAACCCACACAGAGAATCTTTCAGTATAAGACTGGGTTAGACCCAGAACAGCATTGGTTAGAGAAGAAGAGAAAAAAAAGTATAGCTGTCTCTGGTAGTGCTGAACCTTGTGCACAGCATGATAACGAAACACAGTAACAACTCCACCACTACCGCCTCAATATCTGGCACCTTTCCATCTTTCTTCTTCTTCATCTTTTTTCTTCGAGTTCACCAGCTGTAAACTCTAGCAGAAGGTTGTGGTTGTTCATCCACTTCTGGACTCCAGTCGTGTTCCAGAAACTGAGCCTTGCATGCACATCCGTCTCACATAGCTCACTCACCTGCATGCAGACTCGGTTATTTGCCTCTCAGGCAAATGTACTCTGTCTTCAAAGGAAGCTCCCAATTAGCCGACCCTCTTATAACATGCTTTTGGGTAAGCAGCGGGTCTGTTCTTGTTTTCCCCTGCAATGGGGCCCCAGAACCCACATAGGGAACCGTCTTTCCAGACGAGTATTAGGAAGACCCTGAGAATCACAGCCTACTGTGATCCAATTCAGGCCATGCAATGTTCTTGCTCTCCACAAGCACAAAACCCGGGCAGTATAATAGAGACCATGTGTAGCCCATGCAGTATAATCCTCCCTTGGCTTTCTTCATTATCTCCGAAGGTAAACTGTTTCAACACATAATATAACGAAAAAAGTATATTCATCAAATATAACAAATGTAAAATGAGAAACCTTTTGACCAGGGATATCCTCTTCACTGGGAGGATTCTGAAGCGATGACTCATAAATGGTTCCACCAAGACTAAGAATCCTTTTCTCACACAACTGCTTGGCCACCGTCAACTGCAGATAAGAATTATATACAGACCTTTAGTTCAGTTAGAGTGTCTTTTGTTTGATATTCAGATATATGTATGAATTCATTAAATATAAGTATCATCCTTATCATAAAAATATATGTATATATTCTTTATATTTCAGTTTCCTCTTTATCATAAAAGTACAGGTATAAATTCAATACATTTCAGTTTATTATTATCATAAAAATATATGTCTATGTTCATTATATTTCAATATCATCATTATCATAAAAATATATGTCTATATTCATTATATTTCAGTATCATCATTATCATAAAAATATATGTCTATATTCATTATATTTCAGTATCATCATTATCATAAAAATATATGTCTATATTCATTATATTTCAGTATCATCATTATCATAAAAATATATGTCTATATTCATTATATTTCAGTATCATCATTATCATAAAAATATATGTCTATATTCATTATATTTCAGTATCATCATTATCATAAAAATATATGTCTATATTCATTATATTTCAGTATCATCATTATCATAAAAATATATGTCTATGTTCATTATATTTTAATATCATCATTATCATAAAAATATATGTCTATATTCATTATATTTCAGTATCATCATTATCATAAAAATATATGTCTATATTCATTATATTTCAGTATCATCATTATCATAAAAATATATGTCTATATTCATTATATTTCAGTATCATCATTATCATAAAAATATATGTCTATATTCATTATATTTCGGTATCCTCATTATCATAAAAATATATGTCTATATTCATTATATTTCAGTATCATCATTATCATAAAAATATATGTCTATATTCATTATATTTCAGTATCATCATTATCATAAAAATATACGTCTATATTCATTATATTTCGGTATCCTCATTATCATAAAAATATATGTCTATATTCATGACACTTCAGTACATTATTATCATAAAAATATATGTATATTTTCATTAAATTTCAGTATCATCATCATTATAAAAATATACATATATATTCATTATATTTCAGTATCATCTTTATCGTAAAAAATATGTATTTATTCATGATAATTCAGTACTATCATTACCACAGTGTCAAAATATATGTAAAAATTCATCCTATTTCCTCATCAACCTTAACATTCAGAGTCTGGGGCCCATTTTGTTGAAAAGGGGGTGGGGGAGGGCTGGAGGAAGAGCTGATCCACTGCCCCAGAATAAAGTAAAGGCCCCTTTATGTACCTGTGGGGCATCAGGTATATGAGGCTGTTAGGCTACTCTTTTCGATTTCCAATTGCCAAGGGATTTTTTATGTGCGCAATAATACACACAGGTTTCTGATCTCACTACCCAGAGACCAGGGGAAAATACTAGAAGTCCACGTGAACAGAAAAAAATCCCAGCCTTCACCGGGGCTTGAACCCGAGACCTCTAGCACTCGAGGCGGACACCAAACCTCGAGACCATGCAGCCCCTCGTCATCCAGTTCCATGCAGATTTGAACCCACAACCTTCGGATATTCAAATAAGTACCTATATTCGAAACAATATTTATATGTATACACACACATAGACAGAAAGAGAGAGAGAGGGGGGAGAGAGAGACAAGAGAAAAAGAAAAAACGATAAAGAGTGAGAGTTATAAAGTTTTTTCAGTGGGTCACAACTTTGGCAATAATATAACATAACATAAGCCTTCCACCTATTAGGGTCGTGGAGGTGTATTGATGGAAGCACTGGCACATAAAATCTGCCAACTTTCTCTGTCTTCTGCTTGATGAATAAGTGTATGATAACTTAGTCCTGTCCATTTTTTGATGTTGTCATTCCAATTTCTTCTTTGCCCTCCTCTTCTTCGACTAACCTCCCAATGTTCCATGAGTACAGTCTTTATAATCAAAGTTCTTGTGCAGATTACCCATCATACATTTCAGCAGGTTAACGGTTTGATTAGTGGTGCCCATCTCCTCTCCAAGTATCCAAATCTGTTTCTATATGTTTATATTCTCCTTGCGCTGACCGACTATTTTAGAAAAAAATGTCCTTCAAGAGTATGTTGTGTTTACGCCTTGCAGCAACGCACAGTGAAAGAACACACTTATGTAAGTCACCACACTTGGTTGCCATTGTTCCTTGATGCAACACAGTTCAATGCAATCAGCATTGTCACTCTATGAATTTTAATGCATAAGCAGTGTGTGCTTCCAATCACTCATCTTTCACCCAGTGATTGTATTTATCTATAAAGCAATTTAAGTTCATATAGAGGGAGAGGAAAAGAGAGAGAGAGAGAGAGAGAGAGAGAGAGAGAGAGAGAGAGAGAGAGAGAGAGAGAGAGAGAGAGAGAGAGAAACTGTGTGTTAATGCAGATGTACATATGTTGTGTGTGTGTATGTGTGTGAAAGAGAGAGAGACTGTGTGTGCATGCAGACGTACACATGTTGTGTGTGTGTGTGTGTGTGAAAGAGAGAGAGAGAGAGACAGACTGTGTGTGCATGCAGACGTACACATGTTGTGTGTGTGTGTGAAAGAGAGAGAGACTGTGTGTGCATCCACATGTACATATTTTGTGCGTGCGTGTGTGTGTGTATGAAAAAGAGAGACTGCGTGTGCATGCAGACGCACATATGTATGCGTGCGTGTGTGCGTGTGTGAAAGAGAGAGAGAGACTGTGTGTGCATGCAGACGCACATATGTATGCGTGCGTGTGTGTGTGTGTGTGTGTGTGTGTGTGAAAGAGAGAGAGAGACTGTGTGTTCATGCAGATGCACATATGTATGCGTGTGTGTGTGTGAGAGAGAGAGAGAGAGAGAAATCACAAACATCTCTTAGAGTATGGCACAACGATTGCCATCTGCTCTCCACACTCCTATCCTTGAAGTATTGTGGATGGTATTATCTGACAAATGAGTAACCCTACCTGGTTTTTATAGCGTTCCAGATTCCTGGCTTTCAGAAGTTCCCCTTTGTTTGTGCCCTTTGGGACCACATCCTTATCTGTTTGCAGAAACAAGAGAGTTCATATCACACTGAACAAGTATTTTCCAGAAAGTATCTTCCACAATTACTCACGTTCGATGAATGTCAGAAAGTTAAAGTCATTGCACAGGGTTTTTATCCTATAAGGCTAGGTCTCTTCTGGCAGAACAGCTAGCTGCCTGCCGGGGCATCGCACAAAGCACGAACTCTGTAGCTCCGGTGATGAACTCTGGGGATCTCAGTGAGATGCAGCTGTGAAATTAACCCATGACCTTCAGATTGCGAGACAAATGGTTTGACTACTTTAACGATGAGACCTCGAGTAGAATGTCAGAGAGAGGGCGAGTGTTGTGAAACGAAGTGCTTAAAAATTTGACTACAAATCTAAATTGAGAGAATAGAAATGACACGCACAAATACAGTTGTTGAACCTATTTTTGTTCACTGTTAACTCTTTGAGTCCCAAGGTAGGCATCATACGTTCACAGGTTTCAAGCATGCATACCCAGAAGTGTTCTGATCTTTTCTCAGGCATGTTTTCTATTGTGCTTATTCTGATGACTGGTATTCTGTACCGGCTAAAAAAAAAGAATGAATAATGCTGAATTAAGAATCGACATCACAGCACTAAGGGACACTCCCATAAGCGTTCCATCCCCATCTTCAGCAGCAAGGAAAAAGTTCCAATTCCGATGGTACCAGTAACTGTCTGATTGTATATCCATCTCATCCCTTCCCTGAGTGTTGAGCGTCAGACAGATACTCTGGTAACTCCTCGCAGCGCCATTCTCCTTAGTCCGTTATGATCTATCTGCGCCTCCGCACTGTTCACTAGCTCCCAAAGGGCCCTCACAACATCTAGCTTGTCATGTATCAATTCACCACCAAGTGGTGCAGAGCCAGCCAGTCTATCTGCCTGCTCATTTACCAACACACCAGCATAACACGCAGATAATATCTAAAGGATGCTAACTACCCAGTGATGCTTGCCACTCTGCACAAAGCATGACTGTTTTCAACTTTCTCAACATGCTCTGTGAGTCAGTTACAATCGCGGCATATGTGTGCAGCTGATTCTCAAGCCAGCAGAAGGCAGCATGTAAAAGAAGAAGCATGTTAAAAACACGCAATGTGATCAAATGAAATCCCGTGCTCTAACAGTAGAAGACACGACACGTGAGAGTCTTAGTAGTCAAACCTGCCAACATCATGGTCTCTGTTTTCTATGCTCCCCTTTAACATACAAAGTTTGATACATTATAAGAGCATATTATACAATACAGGATAGACAACGTTCATCAGGCAGAATGTCCTCTCTTCGTGGAACAAAATAACCATAAAACTGCACAATCTCAAGGAAAAAACGTGTTACCTGTGGTGAGGCCTTGCTGTTTCTTCAAGTTATTGATGGCCGAGGCTTGCAGGATCTCAGAGATGATATTGTACCTGTGTTAGAAATACACATCAAGAGATACTTGGTTCTTTGATTGTGATTATGTGTGACTGTCAAATTTTAGACGAGGTATTGGAGGTTGACATTTATGGCTCGATGAAATGAGACTATGAGTGCTCAACACATGCAAATTACTGTTCTTGTTGTAAATCACCCCCTGCTGCAAGTGAATTTTGTTGTCAGTTTTGCTGTCCTCGTGCCCACAGCTGCGAATTCAACAGCTGTCCAATTTGAATTTTGCTGTCCTTGTGTGCACAAGAGTGAATTCAACAGCTTTTCCATATGAATTTTGTTGTCCTTCTGTGCACAACAGCGAATTCAACAGCTGTTCCATATGAATTTTGCCGCCCCCATGTGCACAGGAGTGAATTCAACAACTGCTCCATATTAATTTTGCTGTTCTCGTGTGCACATAAATGATGAAGCCAGTCTCAGTGTGGCTTTCAATCTTCTCTGGGGCTATCAATATGGAAATTGATCATATGAACTGTTGATCAGTACATTTACAGTTGATACTTGATAGGGTCTCTGTGGCAAAACGGTCAAATCACTTTCCCCACTCTCTGCAGATGGTGGGTTTGTTTTACGGAATAGTCGATCAATTTATGAGCGCAGATTTTACTCAGTACCATGAGATCATCAGCAGAGCTACAGAATTTGTGCTTTATACAAGGCAGCACAAGGAGCAATTAACACTTGGTGACACAAGGTGCCACCATTCGGAGGAGAAGCCCACAGGCCCGAGAAACCCTGTTCAATCAGGTTATATTAGGGCCCCAGATGAAGCCGAGGTGGGGCTTCGAAATAACAAAAAATTGTGTGCCATATTGGGGTGGAGTTACTAACAAGCATAACGTTCTGCAAAGAAAGTCCAAACTATATAGAGAAACCCTGTGCAATCAAGCCATTCTTCCTGACAGAAGTCAAGGTCTCTAATGCTCCAACCACAACATCCCTCAAACAAACATTTGGGGATAAGAGTTTGGGATGAAAATCAACATGATTAAGTGCCTTGTTGACTGGCATGGGCGATCATGCCTCTACACAATCTGGGATCCTCAACATCAGGTACCAGTTGCCACGTCATGAAAAAAAAGCTCTCAAGAATTGTCTTGCAATGTCTTCTTCTGTCTCTTTTTCTATAAATCTTTCCAGCAGTCACCACATCCTCCAGTTTTTTCTTCTCATAGAGATGACAACAAATAAGCATTTGAGTCTAAAGAGGTTTAGAAAATAACATGAGACACGTTACACTCAAGAAATAATATGAAGAGAGAACAGTTCAATGAAACAACATGGAGAGATTAAAGAGTTGATAAAAGGAGAAAATTAAGTGGAGAATATTAACAGCAACCCATGTAGTGTTACTTGGCACAGAATGAGCTAAACTCCCACCTCATCTGTCGCAAGTCTGCGATGGACTCTGAGGACTTGATCATTTTCATAAAGCCTTCATATGTGGCCGAGTACATATATGTTCTCTTGGTGTCTGCGTACTGTTTCTCCCTGTACGATAAGTAGTCCAGCAGTTTTTGGTTGATGTAGTCGGGCTCACAGATCAGATCAATCATCGGCTTTAAAACTGTTGAACAACAACAAATTCTTAGATAAATTAACATTGACTTTAAACTTCATCTTCACACTTAACACTGGCTGTAATGTTTAACTACCAGCAATAATTTTAATGCACGGCTCTGGGAGAGAACTAAGCAAGTTCCAGTGGACCAAGAGGTGAAGAATAGACGCTGGCACTGAACAGGAAAACCTGAGAACAATATAACTAGAATGTCTTTGCACTGGAAACCACAGAAGCACAGGAATAAAGGATGACCCAGAAAACACATGGAGAAGGAAGATAGAGAGTGTGGTTAAAAAGATGGGGAGGACATGGGGAGAGCTGCATGTGATAGCGATGGACAGAACAACTTGGCGGGAGTTGGTTGAGGGCCTATGCTCCATGTGGCTTAGAAAGGCAGAAGAAGAATATTTCATTCACAGTTAATCAACAGACTTTGCAGCCATATGTTCAAGACATTCAAGATTGGGGATTCAGAACTTTACCCATGTGGACAAGTACCACAGAACACTGAACCTGTGCTACAGACACGCTCTCTACATGAAGTATTGACATTCCAGTTAAAACCAAGCTTTATGGATCATACATAGAAACACAGAATTCACAGAGGCCTGTGGCCTTCTCATCTAAAAACCACTAGCAGGCGGAATGAAAAGAATAAGAAAGAAGAAATTCTCAGACCAAACAGTATAAAAGACCCTCTGCAGCAAAGTATCTGGGTGAAAGGCAAGAGGAAGACCAAGAAAAAAGATAAACAAAACCATCCTTCATGTCAAACAAGAAGCACAAGATAAAGAAAGCTGGGACACTGTTTTACAACCTTATAACAGTGTGACAACAAAAGAAGAAGTAGCAATCAAGAGTAAGAGGTATAATGAAAATCAGGGTTGTAATCCAAAATACAGTCAGAAATAGAATAATGATAATCATCATCATCGTAAAAAGGTAGGAGGTCCTACGCAGAATGTCCCCCTTATCATGGCCTACCTGTTGGCCTCTCGCCAGCTCTCCCACCTCATGCACTTTCCTACTCAAATGTGTCACTTATATCCCATGCCCATCTTCACACTGGTCAAGCCCTGCCCCTTTTCCTGGTACCATGCCTTCAGTAACTATTCTGTCCAATTTGTCATAGTTCTTAAAATAGCCAAACTATTTCAGTTTCTGAGACAAGATGCTGTTTACCAGCCAATCTTCCTTGATGCTCAGATCTGGTAGGATGTCAATATTTCTCTTCTTTTTATGGTCCAAAATATTTTGAGATTGTTTCTATAGCATTTCGGCTCAAAAACGTCTATTTTCTTCTTTAATGACTGCCAGATAGTCCATGAATTAGTTATGTGGCTATAGGGAAGGTGCATGCACTCAAAATATTGACTCTGATTTCCTTACGAGTACTTAACCATAGATGTTTAATGCTTTTTAAATAATGATGAATAAGTTGCAAATATTTTACATATAATGAGAAGTATTAGCATAGCAATTATTAGGTCATACCACTTCCTCCGATGATCTCTCGAAGCAAATGTCTGACTGGGGCGCAGGTGGCGTAGGGCTTGGACAGCAGCAGAAGCAGCACAGCATCAGACACCTTCCTCAGACAGTCCAGCTCACTCTCATCACTGACTAGCCAGGAGTGGAGCATGAACTTGGGGCTGTCCTCATCTGCTCTGTCAGTGCTGCCCGACTCCCTATCAAGGAGAAATCTCTTCACAGTTATCTGTTATGAAATTGTTACAAATTCTCTACAAGAGTGCCTTTTAATTATTAATTCGAAGTAATTGACATTCAGGACATCTAAAACCTCAATGTCTAGATGCTTGATATCTAGACTCTCCATGTTTAGACCCACAATTACCAGACCCTCGGACATCGAGACCCTCAAAATGGCTTGCGTCTAGGGAATATGGCTGACACATATTTTTCTCCCAACCTGCTATCAAAAACAAAATCTCCACAGGGACTGTGTTGTAGAGATCTCCTCCCCTCTCCAAGTTCAGAAACCAGTGGGATTTGATAGAAGGGTACTGAAACTTCACATCTGTCAAGAAGTATACCAGAGAGCAACTAGGCCATGATTCGCTCAACACATGCAGAGAAATGGTACTACTATCCCTGTGTGGGTTCCAGGGCCCCATTGGAGGAAGGGGGGGGGGGGGGAGTAGACCCACTGTCCCTTTAACAAGTATATTGCAAAAGTCAACTGATTAGAGATATTTCCTTTGAAGTCAGAGTGTATCTGCCTGAGAGGCGAGGAACCAACAGTCTGCATACAAATAACCCTGATCTGTTAAACAGATGTGCATGAAAGCTAAAGGTCTGCAACATGACTAAAGTCCAGAACTGCACAAAGAGCCAGAAGTTTCTGTTGAAGTCTACAGCCGGTGAACGCCAGGAAGAAAATGAACAAGTAATATTAGGCAGCACACCCAAAAATGAATATTTATAGCATGTACTATTCTTGTGTACACATCTGGATCTCCCAGTGTGAGTTCCTGGCACAAAACTGTGGGGAAAACAAGAATAGACCTACTGCCTGCCCAAAAGAATGACGTAAAAGTCGACTAATTGGGAGCTTCCTTCAAAATCAGAGTACATCAGCCTGAAAGGCAAGGAACCAACAGTCTGCATGCAAAGGAGTCAGACCTGTGAAATGGATGTACATGCAACACTCAGTTTCTGGAACAGGACTGGAGTCCAGAAGTGGACGAACAACCAGAACTTTCCGCCGGAGTTTACAGCCAGCTAATTTGAAGAAGAAGAAATCTGGATGCTTGCCTGTGTTGTGAAGCTCATGCATTGTGCCGAGTTGCCAGCTGTATGATCTACAGGGAGAAAAAACTGCAGCCCTTATTGAGATATCCATGTGTAACGTGAGAATTCTGAATCACAACTAAAGATGCCATACCCATATGTTCATGATGAAAATATCATTTAACAATATAAAACTACCAAAAATGGTACAGTGTTCCTACACTGCGCTGAGATTCTTCTGACTCAGACTTAAGTTACAATTAGAACGCAGCACTTATGGGTTACTACCCTTGTGCCATAATGTTGATCCGTTGTTCAAACCTGAACCTAAAAATTAAAATTTAAAAAAAAAAATTTAAAAAAAATTAAGTATAAGTTAGTGGTTGTGAAATATAGTAGATCCAATTAATGTTTCTCCGTCACTGTATAAAGGTATACTGCAGGTTAGATGACTCACACAGACAGGTATTTAATGATCAGGGGAGGTTCACTGTGTTGAGAGGAATATGAGAAAAAACTCAAACCTTTTTGCCAAACGGATGGATTTAAAATGTCGATGTAAACAGTCGACAACATCCTGAGATAAGAACCGCACCAGATCCACCTCTGACAATCGTCTGCTAACTTTATCGATGATATTCCACATCTCTGCTCTTGATTAGGAGTGAAGGAAAGAAAAATCTTTAATTTTTTTATTATTATATATACGGTTATAATTTTTATATGGTAACATTAATGAGTCATTAGCAATTAGCTGATGGAGATACTGAAGAGTAAATCTGAGCACTTATGGTCTATATGGTTCAATATGCGATAATGATAATCTGTTGATTAACTAACTAACTAAACTAAACTAAACCAACCAACCAAGCAAGCAAGCAAGCAAGCAACCAACCAACCAACTAACTAAACTAAATTAAACCAACCAACCAACCCAACCAACCAAGCAGGCAACTAACCAACCAACTAACTAACTAGCAAGAATGTACAGCACAAGGCAGACCAAGAACAAGACGGAAAAAAAGAAACTCTAAAACAGCACAATGTGTCTATGGGCAAGGCGGCCAGAAGAACAATAAGCAGAAGCTTATGATCTCCCTTGACACTCAAAACAGTAACAGAGAAAGTGAAGAAAACAAAAAAGAACAAGATCATCACTGACTTATAAATGAACAACAAAATGATTAACCTCTTCCTTACACTCTTTGCTGCTGCTCTATTACTGATCTGGCTTATTAGTATGCAGACTGTTTTCCTGCAGATACACTCCGAACTTTATAGATAAGTAAGTAAAGATCCCTCTTCACGCCTTTAGGTGCATTGGGTATATGGGAAGAGCAAACATATTTTTACATATGATCCAAGTAGATCGTCAAACCAGTGATGATTATTTCTTTATGTAGTTTAGCTGCAAGTATGGTGCTACAGAGCATAGAATCATCAAACAGGTAGTGAAACTGGAGACAGACGGATCGAGGAGACAGAAGGATCGAGGAAACAGAAGGATCAAGGAGACAAAAGGATCGAGGAGAAAGAAGGATCGAGGAGACAGAAGGATCGAGGAGACAGAAAGATCGAGGAGACAGGATCGAGGAGACAGAACGATCGAGGAGACCGAAGGATCGAGGAGATAAAAGGATCAAGGAGACAGAAGGATCGAGGAGACAAAAGGATCGAGGAGACAGAAGGATTGAGGAGATAGAAGGATGAAGGAGACAGAAGGATCGAGGAGACAGAAGGATAGAGGAGATAGAAGGATCAAGGAGACAGAAGAATCGAGGAGACAGAAGGATCGAGGAGACAGAAGGATAGAGGAGACAGAAGGATCGAGGAGACAGAAGGATCAAGGAGACAGAAGGATCAAGGAGACCGAAGGATCGAGGAGGTCGAAGGATCGAGGAGACAGAAGGATCAAAAAGACCGAAGGATCAAGGAGACCGAAGGATCGAGGAGACCGAAGGATCGAGGAGATAGAAGGATCAAGGAGACAGAAGGATCAAGGAGACAGAAGGATCGAGGAGATAAAAGGATCAAGGAGACAGAAGGATCAATGAGACAGAAGGATAGAGGAGACTGAAGGATCAAGGAGACAGAAGGATCGAGGAGACCAAAGGATCGAGGAGATAGAAGGATCAAGGAGATAGAAGGATCGAGGAGACAGAAGGATAGAGAAGACAGAAGGATCAAGGAGACAGAAGGATCGAGGAGACAGAAGGATCGAGGAGACCAAAGGATCGAGGAGATAGAAGGATCAAGGAGATAGAAGGATCGAGGAGACCGAAGCATCAGGGAGACAGAAGGATTAAGGAGACAGAAGGATATTTTCAGGGAACATTTTTTTTTTCAGATACAAAAATCTACATTTATTCATGTACAAAAGTCTACCCATATCAAATCCAGTCATATCATCTGCTTCTGGAACATCTTCACAACTCTCTATATCCTGTATCTGGCCCAATTGTCTGTTCATTATAAAGTGAGCAACGGTGGTGTCTGTACTCTGACTGGCCAGTCAGCAACATGTCTCACCTTCTAGCTGACCATCTCAACCACAGCTGATTTTTGGGGTAGGGCTCATATTTAAAACATCATGCAAAATTGTGCTAGCACTTTTTTTTTGGTAGTAGATCTTATTTTTGAGTAAACACAGTAGTTTCATAAATGTCTTGTCCTTGCATAGAGGCTCACACTGTGTTACTCCAGGGCAGGGAAATGAAGACGCAGACAGACTGGCTGGTTCCCAGGGCAGGGAAATGAAGAGGCAGACAGACTGGCTGGTTCTGCACCAGTGGGTGGTGAAATCATGCATGACAAGCAAGACTGGGCAAGGTCTTTTGTAAGCAAGTGAAGAAGGCAGAGTGAGGAATCAGTCATTATGGTTGGAGAGAGTGATAAAGCTAGGAGTGACCAGAGGATGGTGCAGCCAGGAGTGACCAGTGGATGGTACAGCTAGGAGTGACCAGTGAATGGTACAGCTAGCAGTGACCAGAGGATGGTACAGCCAGGAGTGACCAGTGGATGGTACAGCTAGCAGTGACCAGAGGATGGTACAGCCAGGAGTGACCAGTGGATGGTACAGCCAGGAGTGACCAGTGGATGGTACAGCCAGGAGTGACCAGTGGATGGTACAGCCAGGAGTGACCAGTGGATGGTACAGCCAGGAGTGACCAGTGAATGGTACAGCCAGGAGTGACCAGTGGATGGTACAGCCAGGAGTGACCAGTGGATGGTACAGCCAGGAGTGACCAGTGGATGGTACAGCCAGGAGTGACCAGTGGATGGTACAGCCAGGAGTGACCAGTGGATGGTACAGCCAGGAGTGACCAGAGGATCCTATCCTAGGAGAAAAGAACAGTCAGCTACTGCCACCATCTGAGATGGAACTCTTCACTGAAGATGAAGATGGAGCACTTATGGCAATGTCCTAAGTGCTGTGATGTCAGGTCTTAGCGCAACACTCATGAAGGTCATAAAACTAATGATATTTTCTTCCTTATGTAGTTAACTGGTTTTTTTTTTAAGCTGCAGATATTATGTTACTGAGCAATGAATAACCAAACAGGCACTAAAATGGGAAACAGATGGATCAAGGGAATGGGTATATCCAAGGGAAATCCAAAAAACAAATGTTGATGAGAGAAGTGATGGACTGAATTCCATCCACGACATCGAAAGGATTGCATCAGATTCAATGGAATGGGGGACTAGACTGTGAGCCCTATGTGACTTAGAAGATGATGATAATGATGATGTTACAATGTTTAAAAGAAATTAAAAACAAAAAAACAAAACAAAAAAACTTACTGTAGCTGCTTGATAAATGTCTTGTCCTTGCTGAGAGCTTCATACCATGTTGTTATGAGATGCTTGACCACAAGGTCCAGCACTTCCTGGAGTGAGTTGTCTAAATTACGAGAGATCACAACTTTTCTTGGCTGCTCTGTCCCACATGCCTCAAGCTCCTTAAACAAACAATTGTTTCAAACATTAACACAACCGCGAAAGTAATGTGCCAAATAAAATAACAGATAACATGAAAGGACCCTTTCCCAGACCTCCAGATGTATTCGGCATAGAGGGTTTGACCTATATTTTATAGACCAAGCTGCACTGGATGAGTGATGTGGTCAGCGTTACGAGAACTGCCTTTACTCCAAAGACCGCACCTGGTACCCACTCAGAGCTGGTCTGACTTGCGAGCCAAGGTCATGTTTGAAAAAAGCCAAGGTCATGTTTGAAAAAAGCCAAGGTCATGTTTGAAAAAAGCCAAGGTCATGTTTGAAAAAAAAGCCAAGGTCATGTTTGAAAAAAGTCAAGGTCGTGTTTGAAAAAAGCCAAGGTCATGTTTGAAAAAAGCCAAGGTCATGTTTGAAAAAAGCCAGGCTCTGCCAGAACCCAAACCCACTACACGGCAGCGGCTCTTACATTCCAAATTACACAAATAATTATCTTCCATTAAGCACCTCTAGCAGCATATGTGTAATAACGTAGCTGGGTTCCTTATACGTACTTACATACTTTACCAGTGTCTTTTTTCCACAAAAGGTGCACGTGCTGTGTACGGTTACCTACCACCAGAAAAAATGTCCCATACTTCACTCTTACAAAGATTTACCCAACATTCAGCAGTTGCAACTGCTGATCTGTTGGTAACTTCTGCTATCATCCATGATGAACTGCATTTATAATGTCGGACTGTTTGTGTTAGCACTTCAGATGTCTACCGTATGCTCTTAATGCGTGTGTGTGCTAGTGCATAAATATGCTGAGACAGCAGTCTGTCAGTCTTTCCACAAGGGACTGTGATAAATATACTCTGTGTTTTTAGTTGGCACAGGAGCGGAGCAACAATGTGGTGACACATTTGTTATGAAGGTGAAACTAAGATTACCAGATTAGCCAACATGACAATGTTACAGTTGTGACAGAATGTGATTCAAGAGCAAGTGTGTTTGTTGAGTCTAAGAGCAGCAGTCACTGGAACATTTGTGACAGACATCCACTAGCCAGGCTGGTCAGCCGGTTACTGGTCATAACCTTACAGTGCCTCAATATAACTTCTTCTTCTTTGTCCACTAGCTGTAAGCCCTGGCTAAAAGTCCTGCTTGTTCGTTCATTTAGACTTTGGCTTTGTGCCACAGCCTCTAAGTTTTGCATGCACATGGTTGTTTCCTGCCGCTCGGGCAGATACACTCCGACTTCAAAGGAAGTACCAGTTAGTCGACTCCTGCGACATGCTTGCTGGGAAGGCAGTGGGTCTATTCTTGTTTTTTCCCCGATGGGGCGCTGGAACCCACACAGGGCCCAATATAACTGTTTTATATGTTTGATCAGGGTATTCTTTTTTAGTTTCCTGCTGGATTGGTATCTGAAATGTGACTCTTTGAGTTACTAGATGTCAACCCCACAGGCTGAAGTTTTGAAGATGGATTAAAAAATACACACACACACAAAACACTGATGATAGAAAACATATGTTGAAGACAATTTACAAATGACTGTTAAAAGACACAATAACGCAGAAACAAATTTATGGATCCATCACTCTGAATATTTGACCGCAGTTCTATAAATCACATACTATATAGAGCCAGTTTTAACATAAGGTTACGAAGCCTGGACAGTTAATCAACAAGCCTCAGAGATGTAGTTTTACAGAAAAATCGTTAGAATTCCTTGGACGGCTAAGAAGAGCAGCCCACATGTTTTGAAAGAGGCGAGTGCTTGGAGACAACTCATCACAATCATTAGAAAGAGACAGTTCTCATTTTTTGGTCATCTTATGACAAGAGGTAAAATGGAACATGTTGTGCCCACTGGAAGGATCTGTGGAAAGAGAGACAGTGGAAGACAGCACAAGAAGATTCTTAATGGCTTCTTGTCATGGCATGGAGGGATGTCAACATATGAACTGATACACACAGCTACGGATCAGAGATTGTGGAGAGGCATGATCCCCCCCACACCAGCCGGCAAGGCATTTGAAGATGACTGATGAGTTCTATAAAGGACGGAAGTAAGAGGGGAGTAAATATGTCGTGCTCACAGCCTGCGTGTTTATGGACCATATGTGTATACACATAGACACACAGAGCAATACACACAGTTGTGGGACAAAGATAGGGAAACACATTGATAAAGCTGGTGTCATCAATGCTTAACAGTGCATAATGATGAATCTCTAATGCTAACATGATTGTGTGATCTGGGTATAAAGGATGGTGAAGAATGTCTATGCCATATTCGAGGTCAAGATAGTAGACATTATAACAAAATTCTCACAGCTGCAATTATTAAAAGTACAATGGGGTGGCAGCTGCATCTAAGGATTGCATACAGGGTTGTCTAAAATCCTGATTTCACTAGAAAATCTGAGTGTCAATAAACAACTGTGGACATTCAGATATCTGTCCATATTTTTACAAGCCATGACACAAGGACTTATAACCGTAACTGCTGCCTCTCAATTTGATTCCGAGAACAATTACAGAGAGGGATAAAATTTTTCCTCTCCATGCATCAAAGGCTAAGCAGTATTGTAGAGAACTTATGCTGTCCATGCATCAAAGGTTAAGCAGTATTGTAGAGAACTTATGCTGTCCATGCATCAAAGGTTAAGCAGTATTGTAGAGAACTTATGCTGTCCATGCATCAAAGGTTAAGCAGTATTGTAGAGAACTTATGCTGTCCATGCATCATGATCCTTCTCTCGACCTGCCTTGTTTATTCCAAAGAAAATGTAACACCAGTACGTTTGGAACAAAGCAAGGTGCAGAAGCTGCCAGATCAGAAGAGCAGTGTTGTATCTGTTCACCTGTCAGAGCTTCCCTCCTACACCAGCTGCCAGCCAAGGCTAAGGGTCTGGTCTGCCCTGTCATAACATATATTTTTGAGGTTACATGTCCTCTTTCTAGGATAAGGCTAGTATCTTTCCCAATGTGTTCCTCCACCTGAAGCCGTTGGCATAATATAGGATGTCAGGTTTGGTATACGCCGCCCAACATTCGGCGTCAACAAAGGACAGGTGGTACCAGCTACTGTTATACGGAGGCTCAGTCGTGAAGATATTTTTCTGTGCTATTTAAGCATACAATGCTTTGGTAGCTGACTTTTTAAAATCTATGCCTAATGGTTCAATGAGAGAAACCGTCTTTATGGATTCAATCAAGTCAATTTCAAACATTTCACATGCAGGAAGTTTTATCGACACAAAAGACATACATTCTAAAAATGATCAGTACATCAGAAAAATATGTATGAAACACAATTTATATAGAATTTAATGTTATGAGAGTTTCCTCGTTTCGGAAGATCAAAATATGGTATGGCGACGTCCAATGGGCAGTGATGCGGACTGTCCTGATACTTACCACCATCTTTCTGATAATAATATTGAGAGTATTCTTGTCCTTGTGGCTGACCGCTGGCTTGTAGTTTTTGCCACGAACCAAGTTCCACTGAACAGCATAGTAAAAGCCCAGACCAGCCACCAGCAAGTAGATGGTCACCCATGTCAGTGTCCACAACCAACCGCTGTAGACGGCCACAGAACCAACCGTCACTACAGCACCCACGGCAATAAACCGGCACTCGTTCATGTTTCCGTTTTAGCTATACATCCCTTCTTTGAACTAACAATAGTACATCGTTTTACAATTAACCTCGCGTTAAAGCAGAAGTACCAGTCGGTTAAAAAATGACAATATGTATATTAAGTTGGCTTCAGATGGACAAGTAGAAAGTTTCTAAGAAACATCATCAACAAATGTTTCATTTTGCGGCCATCTCAACATATTTACGCTTCAGTTTTAGTTACACGTTCTTTTTATCAGATAAAAGTATTGTAATTAATTAGAATTAACCTCGACTTAAAACAGATGTGAGAATGAGTAAATTATTTAGTAGGTTTATGTAAAATTCTGCGTTAAATTGTGGGGAAAGTTGTTTATGTTGTGGTTTCTAGCAGAATCCATCACCGGATGTAGTATGTAGTCGGTTATCTATCAAGAATGCTGCGATACTTGGTGAAGTAATACTAGAGATTGATTACAACTTCCTGCGATATTCATTCCGTCTCCTCCTCTTAGCGTTTTGCTTCCATAAGAGCTGGGACTCTCCTCTGGCTGATGGAGGTGGAGACATAGCACGTATGGGAATGTCCGGAGTGCTGTGATGGCGGTTCCTGAAACTCAACTCATTTCTTGGCGTTACTAGTCGTTCCACACTTGTGTCTTTGGAAGAAGAGATCCGAGCATCCATGGATCTGTCCGGAGTGATATGATCTTCTTCGCATTCCCGAGCGGTAGGCGCCAGTGGACAGTTCTGCCTATTGTTCGACCTGTGAACTTAGTCTAGTTACAGAAACTAATTTTTGCCTGCACCTCCGTTTAACAGATATGGCTTGTATGTGTGTAGACTGCTGGTTTCTTGTCTCTCAGACTGAGCCAGTCCGACTTTAAAGGAAACTCCCATTTAGTCGATTCTTACGACATGCTTATTGGGTAGGTAGATGATCTGTTCTTTTTTCTCCACAATAGGGCCAGGAAAGCTACATGGGGAAGGGATGTGATGACAATCCTCACTAAACTCTTGTCTTATTTTCTTTTTCCAATCACCGCATCTAAGTTGGTGTGAGCGGACGGGTGCTAATGACGTCAGGCCAACAGGTAGGTGGTCAAATGTCATCACAGACGGGTCACCCAATAATTGTACCGTTCCTGTGAAAACCTCACAAAATGCCCATCGCTGCCCCAGGTGAGAAGACATACAGACAGCAGTCTCGGCACATTCAGGAGAAGGGGCCCAACATGCATTAAATTCGTTAGGCAGCTTTTGGATGGCAAACGGTTCCTCCCCACTCCGCTTAAATTGTGATGTGGAAATTGATGATGTTGATGATCATTATGATGATAACCTAAAAAGATCAGACATAAGTGAGAGAGGATCGACTTCATTGCACCGGGGTTTATCACGTATAGCCCCATCTCTCTCCATAGAACGGCCAGCCACCTGAAGAGAAATTCGCAGAAAGCATGAACTCCGTAACTCAGGCGATATTCCCCAGTGATCTCCGTAAAGGTTGTACCCAGGAAACGAAACGCACTCTTGGATGGAACCCACAACAGCTACATCATCTACACCAATGTTGAATGAAACATCAGTCCCTTAACTACAAACTTAGTTGAACTGAGTTGAGTCAAGAATTTATACCACATTACTCGAGTAATTCCCATGCGTGCTCTGGCCTTATCTTTAGCAGCCAGCGCAGAGTTCCAATACTGATAATAACGGCCACAATCTGGTAACATGTCCAACCATTTATATATATATATATATATATATATATATATATATATATATATATATATATATATATATATATATATATATATATATATATATATATATGTATACAAACTTTATATATACAAACTTATATCCGCTTAACTTACTCATACTTATTTCTTATTCTTACCAGCTGTAGATTCCAGCGGAAAGTTCTGGATGTTCGTCCACTTCTGAACATTAGTGCAGTTTTGCGTGTACATCCGTTTTACCTTCGTTCAAAGGACATGGTCCTTACAATACTGCGCAGGCTTTGTTCGACGGAGACAAGGGTCTTCATCCCTGATCTTCATTTGTATCGCCAGCGGTTGTGACTCCCAAACTTCCAAACAGCACAATGTGACCACTAACGTCTTTGAAGACTGAAATGTGCCAAAATGTGGTCCTTGCTCCAACCCGCTAAGTAACCGTTAGACAGTATGACTGTCTGATTGTTTGACTGCTTGACTTAAGCTGAGTTGAGTCAAGAATTGACATCACAGCACTCGGGGCATTCCCATGCATGCTCCGTCCTCATCTTTAGAAGCCAGCGCAGGGTTCCAATACTGACGGTACCTGTCACAATCTGGTTATATGTCCGTCATGCCTTTCCTCTGAGTTTCCAAAAAATCCAAAGTATGCTCACTACCAGTGACCATTTTTTTTTTACTGCTTGATTGAAAGGAAAAAGCTCAAGAAGAACTCTCAAGAGAAAGACATCATTGTGCGATAGAAGCTTGTTATGAGAGACGCAAAACAGGGGTGTTAAAATTGACAGGGGTGATAAAATTGACAGGGTGTTAACATTGACAGGGTGTTAGCATTGATAGGGGTGATAACATTGACAGGGGTGTTAACATTGACAGGGGTGATAACATTGACAGGGGTGTTAACATTGACAGGGGTGATACCATTGACAGGGTGTTAGCATTGATAGGGGTGATAACATTGACAGGGGTGTTAACATTGACAGGGGTGTTAGCATTGACAGGGGTGATACTATTGACAGGGGTGATACCATTGACAGGGGTGATAACATTGACAGGAGTGATACCATTGACAGGGGTGTTAACATTGACAGGGGTGTTAACATTGACAGGGGTGATACCATTGACAGGGGTGTTAACATCGACAGGGGTGATAACATTGACAGGGGTGATAACATTAACAGGGGTGTTAACATTGACAGGGGTGATAACATTGACAGGGGTGTTAACATTGACAGGGGTGTTAACATTGACAGGGGTAATAACATTGACAGGGGTGTTAACATTAACAGGGGTGTTAACATTGACCGGGTGTAAACATTGACAGGGGTGTTAACATTGACAGGGGTGTTAACATTGACAGGGGTGTTAACATTGACATGAATGTTAACATTGACAGGGGTGTTAACATTGACAGGGGTGATACCATTGACAGTGGTGATAACATTGACAGGGGTGTTAACAGTGACAGGGGTGATACCATTGACAGGGGTGATAACATTGACAGGGGTGATACCATTGACAAGGGTGATACCATTGACAGGGGTGTTAACAATTGACAGGGGTGATAACATTGACAGGGGTGATACCATTGACAGGGGTTCCCAGGTTGATTTCGCGTTAAAATGGGTACCAGAGAATTTTAATGGGAAGGGAAAGCGGCAGACTACACCATCCATTAGAACGACAAGTCTGTAAAATTATTAGACACGCACCATATGCCCTGGTGGTCTAAGTGTGTGGGAGTTGTTAATTTATAACAATAACAATAACAACAGTAGTAGGATAGGTCTCTTTTAGGTGTTATTGAGGTAATAAAGGTGGTGTCCCCGCCTCAAATGCCTGGCGCTGCTTGCCACCAACTGAGGAACCCACACCACCCCACGGCTAACGGCTAACAACAATAATACACAAACGACAGGCTTGGCCATCCATATATCAAACCACCGGGACAGCACCAGACAGAACCTTTAGCTCCCTCAAATTACCTAAAAGTGACCTCTCCCACTACATATATCGCAGCCTAGCTCTAGACCACAAAACGACGTGAAAACCTCCAGGGCTAAGGCAGACAAAAAGAATTACTGCTGCTGCTACTACTATTACAACTGCTGCTGCTGCTGCTGCTGCTACTACTATTACAACTACTGTTGCTGCTACTACTATTACAACTGCTGCTGCTGCTACTACTATTACAACTGCTGCTGCTGCTACTACTATTACAACTACTGCTGCTGCTACTACTATTACAACTGCTGCTGCTGCTGCTGCTGCTACTACTATTACAACTACTGTTGCTGCTACTACTATTACAACTACTGCTGCTGCTACTACTATTACAACTACTTCTTCTGCTACTGCGGGCGTTGTTGCAGCTACTACCACTGCCAACTCCATAACTGCTACTACTCCTAGTGCTGCTATTGGTGCTGCTGCTGCTACAACTACCACCACCATCACAATAGCAATCCTTTTGGTAGATTTGTGTCTTTTGATATGAATAAAGTTCTTTATCTTCTGCATTGCCATTTTCGTCACAGGATCCTTTTTCGCACCCCTTCGGGCGTATTGGGCCCTAGGACTAACCTATATTCTATAGACCAATCGGCGCTCGGTAGGTGATGTGGCCAACATCACGCCGGCTGTCTTTACTTCCAGGACTTTACCCAGTACCCATTAAGGCTAGATCGACCTGGGTGCTAAGGTCATCTTTAAAAAGAAGTCTGGCTTCGTTCGGATTTGAACCCACGCCTTCGAATCCGCAGGCGAGCATCTGGATATGCACGCGACACTCAGGTTCTGATACAATACTAAAGTCTAGAAGTGGACGAGCAACCAGAACTTTCTGCCGGAGTTTACAACCGGTGAACGCGAAGGAAAATAAGAGATAAAGTTTTGCTATTTAAAAAAAAAAATTGAAAATTTTCAGCAAACTGTGGTAATCTCACAACTGCCACCAGACAGTGACAAGCAATCACTGTCAGGGTCATCTAGAAACTGGTTTAAATACACACATTTTGTATGTGGAAAAGAGGGAGGGAGTACATGGGTGTGCATGTGGGGTGGCAGGATTTGGGGGAAGCTTCCTTTCTGAAAACAATCGCAGATAAGTCGACCGGAAACGCACGGTAACCATGTTTGTTTTTAAAGTCTTTAAATTTAAGACTTTACATTTCCTAAACGTGTTTCCCAAATTGTTGCCGCCTCAGAATCATAACCATGGGTATAAATTAAAATATTCTGTTACAAAACAAACTTGAAGTATATTCTCTTGTCCTTTGTTACAGCATCTAGTAACATGCTCAGCGAAGTATTCACGAAAAGATGCAACTCAAAGTTTCAATGGTGGACTGTGGGATCTACATTCGGAATAGCAATGCAGCTCATTGCTGTGGTTGGAACTGTAACATTTATGCAGGCGCAATTATTATTTTTTTTTTTTGAATGAATTTGTAATACACAGGACACACACAAATGTAGAACTGAACAAAACCAGTGGACCAAGAGGGTACTAAGAGACGATGGTGTTGGATAAGACGCACGTGGAGAAAATTTGAGAACAATAAAACTAGAATGTGTTTGCACTGGAACTCTTCTTCTTCTTCGCGTTCACCGGCTGTAAACTCTGGCGGAAGGTTCTGGTTGTTTGTCCACTTCTGGACTCTAGTCCTGTTCCAGAAACTGAGTGTAGGGTGCACATCTATTTTACAGAGTTGATTCATTTGCATGCTGACTGAGTTATGTGTTAGATTATCTTCACAGCACTCCGGAAACATCCATAGGCGCTCAGATTCCCCTCTTAACATATTCATCAGCGTTGTGCGGTTAATAGTGCCAGTCCTATGTTGGTTAACAAGACTTTGTGTGGGTCCGGTGTACTTCTCATGCTTAGCTATGCCGATCTTTACTCCCAATTCGCGTATTCTTAGCAGTGATGTGGACACGTGGCTTATGAAATCCTGAGAACGTCCTATCTCTCTAAGAGCAATGACAATGTCTGCATGATCCATGGGCCGGCCATCTTTAATTAATGCAGCACCTGCCAGTCTATCAGCTCTTTCATTACCAACAACGCCTGCATACCTGGGACGAATATAAAGGTAATTGCACACACAGAAGAGTTTTGCAATGATTCAAACCACTGTCTGCGTAACCAGCCTGCCTCGAGGCAAACTGTTGGCCCCTGCCTCTCAGGCAAATGTACTCCGTCTTCGAATGAAACACCCAATTAGTCGACTCCTACGACATGCTTTTGGCTAGGCAGTAAGTCTGTTCTTGCTGTCCCCATAATGGGGCCCCACAACACACACGAGAAGCACTGGATCACAGGGGTGTCGAAATAAAGGAAGATTAAAAAACACATGGAGATGCGAGCTCGATAGTGGCGTTAAACAGATGGGAAGGACATGGTGAGAGCTGCATGTGATAACGAAGGATAGAACGACTTGGCGGCAGTTGGTTGAGGGTCTATGCTCCATTGGGGGTTAGAAAGGCAGGGGAAAAAAATGCACATTAAGATAGGCAGAGACGGGCCATGGGAAAATGCCAAACCAAATTATGGTTAACAATTAGTTTCCGCTTGTCCGAACCTAATAAACATAAGTAAACGAAGTGTCCCTTTACTCACCAGTGACACACTTGGCATATAATGCCAAGCTCATATTTGTAAAATATCAGTGGGTGATGTGGTCAGCAGTACGCCGGCCGCCTTAACTTCCCAGGACTTTGCCTGCCACACATTCACGGCTGTTGTTCAATGGTTAGTGTCCTTGAATGGTAACCAGTATGAAATGTATAGCCCAGCTGCTACCCCATTGTGGAAGAGCCCAATGTAAGACGGCCCTACGTATTCAATTTGTGACCAATTTAAAAATAAAGGTCATTTATACTTTCGTCCGTCCCTTCGTCCATCCGTCCGTCGAATCTCCACACAAACATTTTACCTGAGAGCCAAACAACGATGTCCAAAAATGAATCCGCGACCTTCAGACTGCGACATAAAATAGGATTTGCAACTTAAAAATTTTTGAAATAATCTTTATATGAAAACAACAAAGCAAAACACTTTGGCATAAACATGGCTTTATCTTGATCAAGAGTTAAACATTATTAAACTGCCAGTTTTCATCTCACATTTGCGCATTGTAAACGTGAAAATTGTCATTTAAGTGACAGGAACAAACAACACATGTTTTTTTTAAACGTATTAAATTGTTCCTTTTGTGTTTTGTTTCTCCCGCCTAAGATTACATGCCACCGGAAATGATAGGTCATCCATTGCAAAAAGTCACCGCGATAATCTATTGTGTTATTTCAATCTAACCCCTCCAAGAGGAATCTGGTTTTATCGCCGAAACTGATCTTAACTACAGAAGAATTTTTCAATTTCCGTTATTTGTCTAGTTTGTCAACCCCTCCTCCGCTCTGCAACAGCAGAGACTAGAAGTTTTCTGACAAGGTCAAAACTACATGTTTGATTTCATTAGTCGCTTTCCCTGTATGATACCGGAAGTGAGAGTGGCGCCATTACGTGCTAGAGGATTAGAAGAAATGGAGACAAGTTGACTGAACTAAAAACATTTTGTGCAGTTGCTCATAAAAAACCTGCCCTTATCAAAACAATACAGTTTAGATTTGACACAGGAAATAAGTGCGCGCTTGTAAATGTGTGCAAGCGGGACATGAACGATACAGGAATTGAGGTAAATTCATGGGAATTAAATGCCATGGACCGTGTTGCGTGAAGAGGGCGAATCAGGATTGCAGACAGGATGAGAGCTGAGCGTGTAAGAAAAACACTGAATACGTGTAATAGCAACAAGGGTCGTGAAATCCCATACTCTAATTGTGGAAGACTGTTGTTGTTAACCCAGGCGGGCCTTGCTGGTCCCACTCGCCATAGACTGCGAGTTCACGCCTTCTCAAGGCACAGTATATCGTTATCGTCTGGAAGTATGGAAAAGTGCTAGCATGTATGTTTATCTGAATGTCTGTTTTTCGATTGTTTGGTTTGTATGTCTGACTGTCTCTCTTTCTACTATGTAGGGGTATGTCTCACTGTCTCTCATGTTGGGGTGTGTCTGATTGTCTCTCTGTCTATCATGTAGGGGTATGTCTCACTGTCTCTCATGTTGGGGTATGTCTGACTGTCTCTCTGTCCATCATGTAGGGGTATGTCTCACTGTCTCTCATGTTGGGGTATGTATGACTGTCTCTCTGTCTATCATGTAGGGGTATGTCTCACTGTATCTCTAGTTGGGGTTTGTATGACTGTCTCTCTGTCTATCATGTAGGGGTATGTCTCACTGCCTCTCATGTTGGGGTATGTCTGACTGTCTCTCTGTCAATCATGTAGAGGTATGTCTCACTGTCTCTTATGTTGGGGTATGTATGACTGTCTCTCTGTCTATCATGTAGGGGTATGTCTCACTGTCTCTCATGTTGGGGTATGTCTGACTGTCTCTCTGTCAATCATGTAGAGGTATGTCTTACTGTCTCTCATGTTGGGGTTTGTATGACTGTCTCTCTGTCTATCATGTAAGGGTATGTCTCACTGCCTCTCATGTTGGGGTATGTCTGACTGTCTCTCTGTCAGTCATGTAGAGGTATGTCTCACTGTCTCTTATGTTGGGGTATGTATGACTGTCTCTCTGTCTATCATGTAGGGGTATGTCTCACTGCCTCTCATGTTGGGGTATGTCTGACTGTCTCTCTGTCAATCATGTAGAGGTATGTCTCACTGTCTCTTATGTTGGGGTATGTATGACTGTCTCTCTGTCTATCATGTAGGGGTATGTCTCACTGTCTCTTATGTTGGGGTATGTATGACTGTCTCTCTGTCCATCATGTAGGGGTATGTCTCACTGTCTCTCATGTTGGGATATGTCTGACTGTCTCTCTGTCTACTATGTAGGGGTATGTCTCACTGTCTCTCGTGTTGGGGTATGTCTGACTGTCTCTCTGTCTACAATGTAGGGGTATGTCTCACTGTCTTTCATGTTGGGATATGTCTGACTGTCTCTCTGTCTACTATATAGGGGTATGTCTCACTGTCTCTCATGTTGGGGTACGTCTGACTGCCTCTCTGTCCATCATGTAGGGGTATGTCTCACTGTCTCTCATGTTGGGGTATGTCTGACTGCCTCTCTGTCTATCATGTAGGGCTTTTCTTTTTTAATAGTCAAACCAGCGACTTCAAATAAGTTCAAACAGCGGCGCTGGAACCTAGGGGCTGATGCACTTAGAATAATCTGTCTTGCGGCGTAAGTGTAAATTATGGGATAGCGCCCTTTTGCTTGCTTTGTATTAGGAGATTCCCAGGGACTCAGATATCACCTCTGTTCATCGTTTGCAAGTCAGCCAATATAGCGATTCCAACTCGTTCTCTACATCATTAATGGACGTGGTGTAGTGTCTGTTGGTAGTTGAGTTTAATGACCGAACCAATTTTACTTTCATTTTATTTTATCCATGTTATCACATAAGCAACAAAGGGTTGTTTGGAAAGAAAAAAAAAACTTTATATTTAGGGAGATTCTAGCCGTCTCTATCGATAGCTCAACAAAGCCACATGATTAATACACTTCCTGAACACGCAGCCATGGCATGCACACATTGTCTGACTTTGCATTTTGGGTTTATTCCGCAATCTTTTTTTAAAATCAGATATAATGAGTGCATCCAGCGCTTTGACTCGTGTCGCCAGTCGCCGCATGAATGAATGTTTTTAAATGTCTGACCCGACATTTAGACTTAAGTACTGCTGCCCATTCACGCTCCTCAACAGTGTCAACTTCAGGAAAATTTCAAAAGAAGATAGCGGGTCAAAGAACTTTTGGGTCGAAGCATAGTTCGGCAGGTAATGCATATCCGGTCGCCATCTTGAATCAGTGCAAAACATGTATTCTGTGGTTTGCCACAGATCAAAGTGACCTTTTTGGGTGACATTCGTGAGTAAAGAATCCACATCGTCATTGTGTGTCAGGAGTTTTGCAGAACGTCGCTCTCACCACAGCCTACACATTTATGTACAGGGTATGGTAACGTTCCGTGTCCACTGCCAAGTTAACTATTCTAGCCCTTTCTCCAGCACTTGTGCCTTTCAGTGCTGTTCTTTTTATACCGCTATAAGTTATACTGGCGGAAACATGGAGAACAACTAAGGCAATTCCTAATAAACTACAGACATTAGAAAATTATGAAGTGATCATTTGTATCACTGCATATTATATATGACGAGGAAAATCTGGGTGCACATGGCCCCAAAGATCTGTATGCCAAAGTAAAGCAATTTATTCTATCAATCATTCAGCAAGCCGTTTACAAGACGTCGCTCTCTTCACGGAACACCTTAACGTCTTTTATCTCTAGTTAATTCTCCAGCCCTATGTGCTTTCATAGCAAACGCGTCTTCAATTTCCTGTACCGACTTTGCGCGGAAGTCTGCCTTTGTCTCCCCCCCCCCCTAAAACCGCACCCTCCATCACCGTTCTCTCTTGAGATCATTATGGTCTGAGGAGAATGGTGCTGCGAGAAGTTACCAGGGGATCTGGCCGACACTCAACACTCAAGGGTAGGGCAAGACGGATATACAGTGAGACAGCTACTGGTGCCATCGGAATAGGAACTCTTTGTTTGATACGGTAGATGGGGACGCAGCTCTTGTGGAGGGGAGGGGGTGTCCAGAATGCTTTGATGTCAATTCATAATTCAACATTCTCTCTAGACTATAATACTGCTTGACATTCCGAAATATTTATTACTAGAACTAAAGAAGGGTAAGAAAGGTTCATACCATCCTTGAATGAAGTTTTCATAAACATCAAATCGACCTGGATAATCGACTATTACACAAAGGGCATAAAAACTCTACTATTTTATTAGCACCATGCTAGTATGATTATCTGAATATTCTTAGTATAATTTATATCCTGATCACAGCTAAGAAGTGTGTAAACTAGCGCTTCTCCAAAATTTTTTCGCTGCAGACAAAAATAATTTTCGCGGCACACCCACTCTTAAAGCGCATTGAAAACTAAGGTGGAAAAAATCAGTGTGGAGATTTAATGTTTATTGTCTTAAATGCGATGAATGAAACTGTTTACCTGCATTTTTCATTATTTCCTTATGTTTATGAGAAGTTATTTGTTGTTGTTGTAAGCATACATTGAGAATGCACTGCAGTCTTGCCAAAAGCATTGTTTTCTGAATAGACACGCATCCAGAACTCTTCCTGGCTTCCTTTATGGTATTTCTGTTTTAAACTGCTGTCTGCTGATCATAAGCAGATTTTGAAATTTCTTGGTTATTGCTGCGGCACCCCTGGATGCCGTGGCACCCCTGATATATTCTCGTGGCACCCCTGGATGCCGTGGCAACCCTGGTATACTCTCGTGGCACCCTTGGATGTCGTGGCACCCAGTATGAGAACCACTGGTGCAAACAACACAATATTTAAAACATTGATACAAATTGCATAATTGCCCTAAACAAATAATTACACAAAAGAAAATAACAAATACCGATCGATATATCGTCTAAGAACTCGATTTCAACTTTACTAGATATAACCATGAGGATTCGAACAGGATATTATATTGAAAATTACTGCTACTTTAACCTACAGCCGTAGCATAGGTTCTCAACCAATTCTTAGGAAAAATTGTATGGATTTGGTCATGGCTGATTGGCTTCTAAAGTCAAGTTTTTACGGTGTGGGGTAAGCCGTTTCATACGAACCGTCATTGACCACATTCTGAGACAGCAATGGTACCTCAATGTGTTGTGTCCTGGTGGGTTGTGGTAAAATACAGGCCTATTCTTATGATAACAAGAATAACAATTACAGATCAAACCATGGTAGAATAAACAGATGACCCGGCCACAACTGTCAGAAGCAGAACGGGACAATGTCAACTTAGAACACACCTACATCGAATGGGTCTTGTTGACTGCTGTTTATGGTTGTAGCTCACCAAGACTCGAAGATCAACTACATCGATTGACTCTTCCTGACTCTGTCTCAAGTGGTTGTGGTTCACCAAGACTCGAAGATCACCTACATCGATTAACTCTTCCTGACTCTGTCTCAAGTGGTTGTGGTTCACCAAGACTCGAAGATCGCCTACATCGATTGACTCTTCCTGACTCTGTCTCAAGTGGTTGTGGTTCACCAAGACCCGGAGAACGCCTACATCAAATGGCTATTCCTAACTCTGTCTCAAGTGGTTGTGGTTCACCAAGACTCGGAGAACGCCTACATAGAATGACTCTTCCTGACTCTGTCGCATGTGGTTGTGGTTCACCAAGACTCGGAGAACACCCACATCGAATGACTCTTCCTGGCTCTGTCGCATTTGGTTGTGGCTCACTAAAGCAGACTCCCTAGTGTGTCTTACAGGACTACCCAGTATGTCCTACAGGACTACCCAGTATGTCCTACAGGACTACCCAGTATGTCCTACAGGACTACCCAGTATGTCCTACAGGACTGCCCAGACTTGGCCAGTCAGAGAGAAGAAACCTGGCCCACTAGAGCCTCCCCACACGATAAACTTTGGGAGCACCAACGAAGACTTTAAGCGCACCGTTCTGTTTATGACCCAGATTGGAATAGACGCAAAGCAAACAATGATCGCTTAAGAAAAAGAAGAAGAAGAAGAAGAAAAAGAAAAAGATGAAGAAGAAGAAGAAGAAGAAGAAGAAGAAGAAGAAGAAGAAGAAGAAGAAGAAGAAGAAGAAGAAGAAGAAGAAGAAGAAGAAGAAGAAGAAGAAGACGAAGAAGAAGAAGAAGAAGAAGAAGAAGAAGAAGAATAAGAAGAAGAAGAAGAAGAAGAAGAAGAAGAAGAAGAAGAAGAAGAAGAAGAAGAAGAAGAAGAAGAAGAAGAAGAAGAAGAGGAAGAAGAAGAAGAAGAAAAAGAAGAAAAAGAAGAAGAAGAAGAGGAAGAAGAAGAAGAAGAAGAAGAAGAAGAAGAAGAAGAAGAAGAAGAAGAAGAAGAAGAAGAAGTAGTAGTAGTAGTAGTAGAAGAAATGTAGTCATATTTTTTTAAGTTTGCAGAAGTCGAAAATAAAGTATCAAACAACATAAAAGCATGACGTCACATCTGCATCTAAGTTAGGCCCTCTGAATGTTAGGAATTAGTCTCTGGAACATTTCACAAGCTTTCCTTTTCTATTTTAGACTATATATATTCTTTAACTGAAAGACAGCCGTTAGTTTGCCACCAAAATGCTTTAAAAAGAGACCAGCCAGACCTTATTTTTAACTGTTCCTGTTTCTCGCAACGGCGAATTAAAGAGAATCTGTGAGGCGTGAACGAGAACTTCCTGTCGAAACCCAAAACTGCAGCGATGTCGTACCACAGAGTCTTTGTTCCAATTTGCATACTCTTGCTTGTGAAATTTTGATTGGATCATCACAATGACGTCCGCGTTTGTAATCGTTGTTTAAATTTATTAATGTCACCTCAAGTTAGTTCGTGTTAAATGAATTTCATTTGTTAGTTTGTCTTTCTTTTTTTAATGTTCACAAACAACTCGAAAGAGTCTAAATGTCTGCTTCCACAAGTGGTTGTGGATGATATGACATGCTCTAGATTTATGAGACTATGATATTTCTTCCGTGGATGTTGAGGAGGTGGTTGTGAATTTTCAGACATATCGAGCAGTGGAGTCGTGCATCTTCTGCCGTTTGCTTGGGATGTATTACTAAACATTATGGTGTATAGTAACACGATTTAAGCTCCTCATGTTGCTTTTATTACATATTTGTGAAGTGTTTTCCCATATGTTCTATAAAAACGATAAAAGATAGCAAAACATTTACACCAATCGTGATTTGAATCCCGATATTGGTAATTCAAAGAGGTAGGCATGTTGTTGATGTTATCCCCTCTGTGATTACATTCTGTAGGATTAACATGTCCATAATGAGAATTAAACGTGAAAATCCAGGAAAGCTCCTTTAACCGTACGAAACAGTTATACTAAGACACCAGACGGTTATGTAGTAAGCTAAGCATGGACACGGCTGGGAGAGAGGTTGAAACTTTTCAAATTCAAAATGTGTGTTTTTGTATGACTACATCGTCTTTGTTTTGGAATACAAGCATTAGTTTTAACCCGCCGTTTAATCTTGTAATCCATCCTTAGATTTGATTTGCAGCTGCAACTAAAGTTCGCTACAAAGCCAGTCTCACTTCAGAGAAAGGTTACAAACAGAGAATGCGTAAGGTGAAATGGACCATAGGAAATGTAGGTGAAGAAGTAATTACATCTAAACACACACATGTCCGGTCGTCGGGAGCTGCGTGGTCTCGAGGCATGGTATCCGCCTCGAGTGCTTGCTAGAGGTTCCGGGTTCAATTCTCGGTAAGGGTAATACTCGTGTCCCAGGATATGGATCCGTTGTTAAAAAACGGACGGCGTCTGTGACTTAGGCGTTGCCAAGACGTTTTCTAACTCGAGATGGCCTGTTCATTCCAACTACAGGTCATTTGGCAGCAGACCGATTTGCGTTAACAATAATATTGATACCAGACAATACAGCAGCTGTTTGAGGTTTGAACAACGGATCAACATCATGGCACACGGGTAGTAACCCATACGTGCTCAGTTCTTCTTTTAACTTAAGTCTGGTTCCGAAGAAGCTCAGCACATTGCTTAGGTCCTGTAGCACCGGCGAGGATCCTGAAATACTTTGGGTAGATTTTTACCTCAAAATTTTGTCCAGGCAGCGCCGTTAAGCTACTCTTTTCGATTTTCAACTTCCAAGGGATTTTTCACGTGCGAAACAATACACACGGGCGCCCCATCTGACTACCCAGAGACCAGGGAGGAAATACTAGAAGTCCATGTCCACATGAAAAATGTCCAGCCCTTACCGGGGATTGAACCTGGAACCTCTAGCACTCGAGGCGGACACCATGCCTCGAGATCACGCAGCCCCCTGGCAATACAGAAGAATGACACCAGTAAAAGTTTTCAAACTAAAATCACACATGGCCAAACAACTTTGGGTCTGGTTTGGCATCATCATGTAAATACAGCAAATTTTTTTCAGCTAGCCCCAGCTGGAGTATATGGCACGAGTCCCCCCCCCCCCCCCCCCCCCCCCACCCTTTTTTCAGCTAGCCCCAGCTGGAGTATATGGCACGAGTCCCCCCTCCCCTCCCCCCACCCCACCCTTTTTTCAGCTAGCCCCAGCTGGAGTATATGGCATGAGTCCCCCCTCCCCCCACCCCACCCTTTTTTCAGCTAGCCCCAGCTGGAGTATATGGCACGAGTTCCCCCCCTCCCCCACCCCACCCTTTTTTCAGCTAGCCCCAGCTGGAGTATATGGCACGAGTCCCCCCCTCCCCCCACCCCACCCTTTTTTCAGCTAGCCCCAGCTGGAGTATATGGCACGAGTTCCCCCCCTCCCCCACCCCACCCTTTTTTCAGCTAGCCCCAGCTGGAGTATATGGCACGAGTTCTCCCCCCCCCCCCCCCTTTTTTTTTTAGCTAGCCCCAGCTGGAGTATATGGCACGGTTCCCCCCCCCCCCCCCCCCCACCTCCCTCCACCCCCACCCTTTTTTCTTCTTTCACCGAAACACAACGAAATGTGATTAAAATGAGACCAAAAAAGAAATAACCCAAGTACCGTTTGTAATAACTTGCAGAAAAACATGCATACATTTTGAACAACAAATAACAGAAACAGTCACTAACAACTGGTAATTTGGTGTCCACAAATCAGTGTGATGGTTGACGCTGTGTTTTATCCTGAGAATATCTGCTATTGTTGGTCTGATGTTGGACAAGTCACAAGGGAGATCACTCTCCACATCAAGCTAGCAGCGCTGTTTTCTTGTCGTAGCTGCTAACGCTGAAAATCCCAATTATTACAAGTTCAAATTCACTCAATTTCAATGCTTGACGTCCCCTTGACTCTCCTTGCGCCCCCTAGTGAGGCTCGCCCTCCCTGTGACACCTAGTGAGGTTCGCCCTCCGTGTGCCCCCTAGTGAGGTTCGCCCTCCCTGTGCCCCCTAGTGAGGCTCGCCCTCCCTGTGACACCTAGTGAGGTTCACCTTCCCTGTGCCCCCTAGTGAGGTTCGCCCTCCCTGTGCCCCCTAGTGAGGCTCGCCCTCCCTCTGCCCCCTTGTGAGGCTGGCCTTCTCTGTCCCCCCTAGTGAGGCTCGCCCTCCCTCTGCCCCAAGTGAGGCTCGCCCTACCTCTGCCCCCTAGTGAGGCTCGCCCTCCCTCTGCCCCCTTGTGAGGCTCGCCCTACCTCTGCCCCCTAGTGAGGCTCGCCCTCTCCCTGCCCCCTTGTGAGGCTCGCCCTCCCTCTGCCCCCTAGTGAGGCTCGCCCCATAGATTGGAGGCCACTGCTGTAAAGGATACGGGAATCACTTTGTAAAAACAAACGCACAGAACATATATAGGGAACGTTTTTAATGTATTATTGTTTAGTCAGCGGTACCTCGAATATATGATGCTAGACGCGTATTTCATAGACCAATCGGTATTCGATCAACTTCCCGCCGGCCGCCTTTACGTCTCAGAAAAGTTCCTGGTACACACTTCAGACTGGGTGGACCTGGGACAGAATGTCAGTTTTGAAAACGAAATCTGACTCGATGCGGATTCGAACTCTAGATCTTCGGGCCGGGAGGCGAGCGGCTAGCCACTAGGCCACCGCAGTTCTCAGAATTAATCATAACCGGTGCCAGACTAAGAACATTTACATAAATAAACAGATGGAGAACTCTTGAGCTCGTATGAATATTACACACACACACACACACACACACACACACACACACGCACACACACATCTCTATATATATTTATTATAAACAAACAGACATTATATTTATCGGCACTCATAGAGAGAAGTAGAAATATAGAAGGGCACACTAGACAACTTAAAAATCGAAAGCTAAAGTTACCGTGCCGGGAATCGAACCTATCACCTCTAAATGTCGTGTGCGCCTCGCTATGGAAACAAGTGTACTACGAACGTGACCAACTAGGTTTGATTCTCGAAACGGTAACTACAGTTTTCGATTTGTATATTTTCTAGTGTGTCCTTCTTTCTTTCTACTGCTTTCTATGAGTGCAATAAATACATTGTTTGTTTGTTCATTATATATGTGTATATAATAAGAATATTAAGCTCTAAGAAATCAAAGAGTGAAAATGAAATGGCTAAAACTCTTTTCAGTAAGATGCGAATATTATTGACAACTAGAGAGATAAACAATATATTGAAACAGAATCTTCAAGTGTTGTTATAAGCAACCCTGGCATATGGTGCAGAGACCTGCACAACGAACAAGCAACTAGAAAATCGAACTGAGTCACTGTGTATACTGAAGAAAAGGCCATATTTCATGAAAACAAAAACATTCAGTTACAACAGTTCTAGGAAGACTGCGAATGAAAAGATAATTACTAAAAGAAATTTAAAAATCTTCACGATGTACTAGTTTTTCTCCTTCTAGTGACGGGGCCTAAGTCGATGCGAACGCTTCGTAATGCCGGGATGCCGGGTTCGATCCCAGCTGCAGGCCATGCGTCTTGCGTTGGTTTCGTCAGTGGTATCAAGAAAGCTGACCGCCCAGAAAGTAATGGCAAACTGCTGGACGTAAATTTGCCTAGAAAAACCACACAACAGCCAGGGGCTTTTGATGGTTGGTTATGCAACGACCTGTAAAGGATACGCAACTAATCTTACTGACATGGCCAGAGAAATTATAAACTGTCTCCTTCTGATATGATATAATCGGTTGTCTTCGTAAGTCAGTTTCATTGAAGACAAGTTGGTAAGCGACATTCAGCAACACCAGGACCGCACCACCAGGGATAATATATTGGGGTCATTGAGACCTCAATATAACTTACAGGTTGAACGGGGTTTCTTGGACCTGTGCTCGGGGGATTCTTATCGTCTCAAAGAAACTTGCCTACGAAGACAACCGACTGCTGATAACTAGAAGGCTTCTAGTCTTAGTTTTAGTCGAGGTTTCAGCTTCATTGAAGTCAGGTCACCCCAAACTTGCTCCGTTCCTGTGTCAGTGAAAATCAACTGAAAGGTCCCTTACTATCCTTTTTGAAAAACTGGTGAGCGAACAATTAGTCAGACAAAGTCCATAAATATGCGCACGCAGTAAATGCACATGGCAGTTGCTAGAGGCGCCAAAGCCAACAGCCGCCACCATAAATGCAGTTTGTTGTTGCTCAAACTAGACGGGCACTATAAGTTGACTATACACACATTTAATTATTGCATAAGGTATTTCACCAGCCCACACGAAAACCGGTTACCGGCCATATTGAATATCACGACTCAACCGCTAAACAAATTAGATGCAATCCACATGACATCACAGCTCACAGGGCTGCACCAAGCACGAAACTCAGTAGCTCGAACAGTGAAACAATAGACTGCATTCTGTATGTGGAAACTGCATTAACAAAGCCCTGTCGAAAGCAAAATTAACTTCGAAGCTTAACATTCTGCCGTGCGTAGTCCTCCATTTTAGACCCAAATGTTTCTACCAAATTATAAATGCCGTCTTTTTTGCAATAATTGCTAAGCTTTTAGAAAACATTTTGAGAAATTCGAAAACATAGGAATTAACAGACTATTTTTTAAAGGATGGCTCCTTTGTAACGGCTTAAAATACGTGTAAATAAACGAGATGAAAAACTGAACAGAAGTATCAACTGCAACATAAGTGTACAGAAAATAAAAACCAGAAATGACGTCGCCTCACGTATCGTTTATGGAGAGGACAGAATCGATGCACAGTCTGCAGTCGGTGGAGTCTTGCCTGGAGGATATCTTTGAGAACGATGACATTCATGAGGAAGATTTCATCGAAAGCTGGACCGTGGGGCCCTCAACTGCGCCTGCGTCCATTTTCACAGTTGGAGGTGGAGATCAAGGGTAAGAGTTCCTGTGTTTGTGCTGGTTGTGTTTGTAGCAGCTCCTCATCCTCCTACTCTTCCTCCTTTTCTTCTTCTTCTTCTTCTTCTTCTTCTTCTTCTTCTTCTTCTTCTTCTTCTTCTTCTTCTTCTTCTTCTTCTTCTTCTTCTTCTTCTTCTTCTTCTTCTTCTTCTTTTTCTTCTACTTTTTCTTCTTCTTCTTCTTCTTCTTCTTCTTCTTCTTCTTCTTCTTCTTCTTCTTCTTCTTCTTCTTCTTCTTCTTCTTCTTCTTCTTCTTCTTCTTCTTCTTCTTCTTCTTCTTCTTCTTCTTCTTCTTCTTCTTCTTCTTCTTCTTCTTCTTCTTCTTCTTCTTCTCCTTCTTCTTCTTCCTTCTTCTTTTTCTTTTTCTTCTCATACTCCACTTCTTGTTCTTATCCTTATCTTTCTCACACTCTTTCTGCTCTTCCTCCTGTCTCAGTTCATATTCTTAATCTCCTTCCTCACCCCCCTCGTCTTCTTCTTTTGTTTCGTCCCTCCTTCTTTTTGTGCTTCTCTTTCTTTGTTTTTGTCAGACGCCTATTTCTGCAACTTTGCTGTAAACAATAACTAGATATGTCACAATACTGCAGACGGATCATCACACAAATTTAACATGTCCTTGACTGTCCGTTTTGAAAACTATTGAAAAACTTTTAAATCCCAGCCAAATCTTTCAGCTTGCATGCGCAAAGGGGGAAAAACTGCATATGGCAGCCGTCATATGTGCTAACACTAACGGTCCCAAGCCAGAATTGTATATAACTGTTGTCTAGCCTCGTTTTCCCCATATCCACTGGCACATAAAGGTATATTTTTACGTTCAAATACTGAGATGATCGTCAGCTGTTTCCTCTCGTTTGTGTGGCTGCTCATCATGGCTGGATATGAGGGCAGCATCTTTGCTGGAAACATCATTTGTGTCAATGCAAGAGACTGTTTAGCGCCTTTTTCTTCTTATTTATAAGGCATATACTGAAAATCTCATGTAAAGGCAATTCATTAGTATTTATACCCGTGTGGGTTCCGGGGTCCTATTATAGGGAAAACAAGAACAGACCCACTGCCTACACAAAAGCATGTCGTAAGAGTCGACTAATTGGGAGCTTCCATCGAAGTCGGAGTACATCTGCATGAGAGGCAAGGAACCAGCAGTCTGCATGCCAATGAGTCAGATCTGTTAAACGTATGCACACGCAACACTCAGGCTCTGAAACAGGACTGCAGTCCAGAAGTGGACGAACAACCAGAACTTGTCCGCCGGAGTTTACAGCTGGTGAACGCGAAGAAGAAGAAGAAGATTAGTATTAAAAAAAATTAATGCCGACCTCCTGAGACATTCCCTGGTGCAAATTTTAAATAACCGGGTCGGTCACGGAGAACAGCTCAGTTGTTGTCTCAATCAACCCCGATGTATTTTCGAAGGAGAAACAATTAATTTCAATTACTAATGTACAAAAATAGCATGGCATATGATGTCCCTAAATCTAGTCTAAGTGTGGAGATTGAGGCGGTCAGTCTTCCGCTGGCTTGAAAGCTAACTGCGCAGACATTTTGCAGCTGTAATTGACTGACAGATCATGCTGATACAAGTGAAGACAAATTTGTTTCGTGCAGAGAGGCAAGCATCGCTTCAGAGTCCCGAGTACATAGCGTTTCTCCAAGCAATGTCGGTGTGTTGGGAAATGAACAGGCATATAGTCTGGCTGATTCTGCATCACTTGGTGATGAACTGATCAATGACAAGCTACTTATTGTAAGGGTGCTCTTTGGGAGGTAGTGAACAGTACAGAAGCACAAAATAGATCATCACTGTCTGCAGAGAATGGTGCTGCGAAAGGCAACTAAGGGATCTGTCTGACGATTAACTGCCAACACTCAAAGGAAAAATGGAGACGGATATACAAACAGGCTGTTACTGGTACCATCGGAATTTGAACTCTGTGCTTGCTGCTGAAGATCGGAACAAGGTACTTATGGGAATATTCTGGGTGCTGTGATGTCGATTTTTATTTTAACATTTAAATGTTTTCCAGGTATGGTCTGTCTCCGGAGGAAAGAGATTATCTGGCCAGCTCACCCACTCAAAATGACAACGAAAGGTAAGACTTGTGTCTGTTTGTCCTAACTAAATATTTTTATGTTACATTCTCTGAGGGCGACCTGATACGACAGTGTCTGTCGCGCTCCGGTGCGCATATGTTTGAATCTCTATCCAAGCGGATTTTTAAAACCAGTATTCAGATGGTATCCAGATGGTATGCAGATGGTATCCAAAAGTTATCAAGATGATATCGCCCGGCTCTCTAACGTGTGTGGCTAAACCGGATTGCGCGGTGACCGGGTGACGAACTCCTTGTGGTCCGGGTTCACTCCCGGGGGTAGGCAGAAAAGCCACATTTTCTCCCAGATTTACGGTATTTACAATGGAATCAAGGCCGAAAGGTTGCGATATTTATAATACCGAGCCTAAGGGTTAAAAACTCATGGCTTCTGGATACTAAAACAAACAAACAATCCAGATGACATCCATATATCCAGATGGTATCCAGATGGTATCCAGATGATATCCAGATGGATCATGTATGAGAATCGGTTTCAGGGCAAACTCTTGGAAGTAAATAACGATGATTACAGCGATACTGAAAATATTGACGGTTACTATAATCCTCTTCTTCTTATTCAGCATTCCGAGCACTTGATGTTCGTTGCTGCAGATATCACCCGCCTCTACTAATCTCTCTGGTTGGCCTTTTCTTTCCAGTTTGTAAAACTAGGTGTTTGCTGGTCTCTCTGGGCATTATCTCTCCATCGTCTTCTTGGTCTGCCTCGCGGTCTACGACCATTTATCTCCCTTGTGCTTACAGTTTTTTTTTTTATTTCTCTGTCATCTGAAATTCTCTCAATATGCCCGAACCATTTTAACCTATAAGCTCTCATGATGCCACTGATCAGTGGTGATTTAAACAGATTATAAATTACATTGTTGCTACTCACTCTCCATTTCCCGCTGTTTACATCTTTGATAGGTCCAAAGATTCGTCGTAAGACTCTGTTTTCGAAAGCCTGTAATAAGTCTTCATCTCTTTGAGCTGTGCTCCAAGTTTCAGAGCCATATAAAACGACTGGTCTTATCAACGTTTTATATATTTTGTTCTTGGTGTTGCGAGACAGACACTTTGACTTTAGCAGATGTTGAAGGGCATAGTAACTAGATTGTTATTTTTTTTTTTTTTTTTTCAAATTGTATTTTTCTTTCAGCTTGTAGGAGCAGTTGAAGTTTGGGCCCAAGTACTTATATGTTTTCGTTCGTTTGATTTTCATATTATTGACTTGTATGTGGGCAGAGTTTATATCCTTTCCCTGTCTTGTTATTATCATGTATTCTGTCTCATCTTGATTGATAACTAGTCACATTTTGTGAGCTGCTTCGTTTAAGAGACTCAGTGTTTTTACAGTTTCTAGTTCATTTTCTCAAACATTGTGAACTTTTAAATTATATGTGCTGTGCTTATGCCTTTGTTTTACAACCTTTAGTTCTTTAGAAAACTTTCTGGATTCATTGTTCTGATAGTTAGCTTCCCTATCCATGACAATGTTGTTCATGTATTCTCACTTTTGTTGCCTAACTACTCCTGTAGCTTCTTTACATTCTGTTCTATAGTTTTCTTCATTTCGTATGTTACTAGTGTCATTTAGCCAAATCTGCCTGACATACCATAATCTAGTGCATCTAAATTCGTTGAAACGAGTAATTAGGAGTAGTATTAGTAGTTGTAATTATGAGGACGGTAGCAGCAGCAGCAGTAGCAGCAGCAGCATCAGCAGCAGAAGTAGCACCAGCAATAGCAGCAGCAGTAGTAGTAATAGTAGTAGAAATAACAACACAGGATCATATAAGAAAACCCGAACATCTCCGATTCTGAGGACTACTGCATTTGTGAAAATGGCGAATTTTCCCACAGGGTTAGGCAGACAGTACAATGTTAAACAGGAAATGATTACACATGCAGTCCTAAAAAGACAGAAAATTCCACACTTCATAAAAGGTAAATGAAATTTTAATGATCCCAAATAAAATAAAATAGTTCTACAGAATTTTAGTTCAACTGAATAAAATAGTTCCACCTAATTTAAATTCAGTTCAATTGTAAAACTTCAATTTAAAGAGGCAATGTTGATGGTAGTCAAAGTACACCTGGTTGCCTTGAAGTTGATGGTGATGAGAGCACACCTGCGTGCCTTGAAGTTGATGGTGATGACAGCACACCTGCGTGATTGAAGTTGATGATGATGACAGCACACCTGGTTGCCTTGAAGTTGATGGTGATGACAGCATATCTGGTTGCCTTGAAGTTGATGGTGATGACAGCACACCTGCGTGATTGAAGTTGATGATGGTGACTGCACACCTGGTTGCCTTGAAGTTGATGGTGATGACAGCACACCTGCGTGATTGAAGTTGATGGTGATGACAGCATATCTGGTTGCCTTTAAGTTGATAGTGATGACAGCATACCTGGTTGCCTTGAAGTTGATGGCGATGACAGCATATCTGGTTGCCTTTAAGTTGATGGCGATGACAGCATATCTGGTTGCCTTGAAGTTGATGGCGATGACAGCATATCTGGTTGCCTTTAAGTTGATGGCGATGACAGCATATCTGGTTGCCTTGAAGTTGATGGTGATGACAGCATATCTGGTTGCCTTGAAGTTGATGGCGATGACAGCATATTTGGTTGAATTGAAGTTGATGGCGATGACAGCATATCTGGTTGCCTTGAAGTTGATGGTGATGACAGCATATCTGGTTGCCTTGAAGTTGATGGCGATGACAGCATATTTGGTTGAATTGAAGTTGATGGCGATGACAGCATATCTGGTTGCCTTGAAGTTGATGGTGATGACAGCATATCTGGTTGCCTTGAAGTTGATGGCAATGACAGCATATCTGGTTGCCTTGAAGTTGATGGTGATGGCAGCATATCTGGTTGCCTGGAAGTTGATGGTGATGACAGCATATCTGGTTGCCTTGAAGTTGATGGCGATGACAGCATATCTGGTTTAATTGAAGTTGATGGCGATGACAGCATATCTGGTTTCCTTGAAGTTGATGGTGATGACAGCATATCTGGTTGCCTTGAAGTTGATGGCGATGACAGCATATATGGTTGCCTTGAAGTCGATAGTGATGACAGCATATCTGGTTGCCTTGAAGTTGATGGTGATGACAGCATATCTGGTTGCCTTGAAGTTGATGGTGATGACAGCATATCTGGTTGCCTTGAAGTTGATGGCGACGACAGCATATCTGGTTGCCTTGCAGTTGATGGTGATGACAGCATATCTGGTTGCCTTGAAGTTGATTGTGATGACAGCATATCTGGTTAACTTGAAGTTGATGGCGATGACAGCATATATGGTTGCCTTGAAGTCGATAGTGATGACAGCATATCTGGTTGCCTTGAAGTTGATGGTGATGACAGCATATCTGGTTGCCTTGAAGTTGATGGTGATGACAGCATATCTGGTTGCCTTGAAGTTGATGGCGACGACAGCATATCTGGTTGCCTTGCAGTTGATGGTGATGACAGCATATCTGGTTGCCTTGAAGTTGATGGCGATGACAGCATATCTGGTTGCCTTGAAGTTGATAGCGGTGACAGCACACTGGCTGACTTGGAGTCGATGGTTATGACAGCACGTCTGCTTGACATATTTCATTTATTTATTCATTCATTCTTTCATTTACTGTCCTGTCATGCCATTATTTGTTAGATAGGGCTCCAAGTCTACTCCGATATTGCGTTCTATCATGAGCAATTAGTTCGATATCATTAGATGGAATCCAGTCCATCAGCTTTAACCTCTCTCATCAACCTTCGTCTTAGAGTTTCTAATGGGCGTCCTCGCCTTCTTAATCTCTTTATTTCCTGTGTTAATGCCTGGATAATTCTGCACTGGTTTCTTTTCCGGATGCGTCAAATTTAGCGCCATCTTCTCTGTCTTATAGCTGTTTATTCTAGTGGTTGCGAGACATTTCTTCTATTTCTCCACTCCTTTTAAATTCCTCAGTTATGGTTTATCATTTTTCCACGGGCAAAAGTTTTTGAATGTATTTAAACTTCCGTTCCATGTCGTTACTGGATCTCCAACTCTCACTGGCATGTGTTAGTAACAAAAGATTCAAGTAACAAAGTCGGACCCAGTACACTGTGTTGAGAAACGAAGTCGGACCCAGTACACTGTGCTGAGTAGCGAAGTCGGACCCAGTACACTGTGCTGAGTAACGAAGTCGGACGCAGTACACTGTGCTGAGTAACGAAGTCGGACCCAGTACACTGTGCTGATTAACGAAGTCGGGCCTAGCACACTGTGCTGAGTAACGAAGTCGGACCCAGTACACTGTGCTGATTAACGAAGTCGGGCCTAGCACACTGTGCTGAGTAACGAGGTCGGGCCCAGTACACTGTGCTGAGTAACGAAGTCGGACCCAGTACACTGTGACTGGACGTTCATTCATGCATCTTAACCTTTCAGACGCATAAGTCTAAGTCGCTGGGGTGTCAGGTTGGTGCGACGTTGTATTGCGTCGATGGTCTTACCTTCGACCACGCGTGCTCTATATTACAGGATGTGGGCGCTTTTAACGACCCCATAACATGTACAGCTGGCCCTAACTCCAACCTCCTCTACCCCACACACTTATCCTAGATCCAACGAGAGAATGCATTCTACGCCCCGTCGTTTTAGATTTCTTAATTTTTTTACGGTGGTCCCTAAAACGCTGTGTTGCTCCAAAAACGCAAGGGTACCCCCCTAGTCGCTCGCCAACGCTTACAGACGAAACAAGCTCATGTCCGACTCGAATTCCTATACGGCTATCCATACATGGACCAGCAACCAATAATTCTTCTTACGAGTGAAAACGCAATGTCGGCTGCCGCTGCTCACAGAACAACGATTAACACGCAACGCAGAAAGTTTTCTGAAGACAGCAGCACACCGGGACACCCCTCTAGCGTAGACCAGCCTGAGCAAGCGTCATTGACAGGTCACCTAGTGTGTAGCTGGGCCCGACTTCGTTACTTGTTTCAATTAAAATAACAATAGAACTGAACATGCGTAACTTGGATTTAAAACGATACAATTTCATGTTTCATGGTATGTTTAGTCTATCAAAAACTGCTGATACCTTGCCAATGTGTGTCATAATTTATTTCTTTGTATTTCCTTCATTATACCCACATTACTACCTAAATAAGTAAACTGAGCTGTTACATTAACTCTTTTCTCTCTAGTGTAATCTGCCATTATGTGATTGTCCTTGTTGCAAGCCATTAACATAGTTTGTCTGACTGACAAAGCCTCCTGTCTCATACACTAATTACTGTGCTGTATGTGCCAATGACTACATGTTGACAACTTTGTTTCGCAGGACAGTTCCGGTGCGGTATTTTACACACAAGCTCTCGTTCAGAGGTTGGCTTCGATGGTTCTTCATACGCAATACATCCTCACGTGAGTTCCTTAACTCTTTGACCTCTAGTCATTTGTTAGTTTAACCCCCTTTGCGTCTCGAGAAGTTGAGCCGTAAATGATAAATAGAATTAAACGAGTTCACCAGAATCGTGTGGTTCACTAAAACTTCACATCAGTCAGTAGCATGTCCTTTGCAGAACCTTGCTCACATAACAACCCTCCGGAAAACTTCTCGATCACAAGCAAGAAGTCAAGCGTCCAATACACCAAACTGGAGATCATCCGCCACATCCTGCACCCATTTTCTCTTTGGCCGTCCTCTTCTTCTCTTCCCAGGTATATACCTTCACCATTATTGTTCTCTCTCAACTTTCTTGACGACTCGCGTGACTATAATATTACAATGTTCTGTATTTTATCATCTTTAATAACAAAGCTTCTTCAATATTCAGCTCTTGAAATATGGATGCCTTTGTTCTTTTCTTTACCTATGATATTCTTAAAACCCGACTATATTATTTGTATTCAAAGGCATTGTGCGCTATGCAGCTTGCTAGTAAGTAAGTGTCCAGGTCTCACAGGCGTATGTTGCAATGGGAAAGATGCATCTTTTTAGAAATCTAAGAAATCTAATAATTCACATAGAAGGGGTAAAAAAACACCTCAAAAAATTAAATTGTTTGGTCTTGTTGTCAGAATGGAGGTAAATCAACCAGCAGTCAGAGAAAACTTCATGAGAACAGTAGGCCACAAGGCAAGGGATCAACTAAGACAAGGACGTGTGGCAGGAGCAGAATAAAAAACAACGGAAAGGCAGTATGACGTTAACAGGAAACTACATCTAACTCTTGTCTGCGTCGTTTTACAGCATAAGGAGTAGTATACAAGACAGGACATTACATCTTACTCCTGTCTGCGACGCTTTACAACATGAAGAGTAGTATACAAGATAGGAAACTACATCTAACTCTTGTCTGCGGCGCTTTACAGCATGAATAGTAGTATACAATATAGGAGACTACATCTTACTCCTGTCTGCGGCGCTTTACAGCATGAGGCGTAGTATACAAGACAGGAAACTATATCTAACTCCTGTCTGCGGCGCTTTACAGCATGAAGAGTAGTATACAAGACAGGAAACTATATCTAACTCCTGTCTGCGACGCTTTACAGCATGAGGCGTAGTATACAAGACAGTAAACTATATCTAACTCTTGTCTGCGGCGCTTTACAGCATGAGGAGTAGTATACAAGACAGGAAACTATATCTAACTCTTGTCTGCGGCGCTTTACAGCATAAGGCGTAGTATACAAGACAGGAAACTATATCTAATACCTGTCTGCGACGCTTTACAGCATGAGGAGTAGTATACAAGACAGGAAACTATGTCTAATACATGTCTGCGACGCTTTACAGCATGAGGCGTAGGATACAAGACAGGAAACTATATCTTACTCCTGTCTGCGGCGCTTTACAGCATGAGGCGTAGTATACAAGACAGGAAAATATATCTAACTCCTGTCTGCGACGCTTTACAGCATGAGGCGTAGTATACAAGACAGTAAACTATATCTAACTCTTGTCTGCGGCGCTTTACAGCATGAGGAGTAGTATACAAGACAGTAAACTATATCTAACTCTTGTCTGCGGCGCTTTACAGCATGAGGAGTAGTATACAAGACAGGAAACTATATCTAATACCTGTCTGCGACGCTTTACAGCATGAGGAGTAGTATACAAGACAGGAAACTATATCTAACTCCTGTCTGCGGCGCTTTACAGCATGAGGAGTAGTATACAAGACAGGAAACTATATCTAATACATGTCTGCGACGCTTTACAGCATGAGGCGTAGGATACAAGATAGGAAACTACATCTAACTCCTGTCTGCGGCGCTTTACAGCATGAGGCGTAGTATACAAGACAGGAAACTATATCTAACTCCTGTCTGCGGCGCTTTACAGCATGAAGAGTAGTATACAAGACAGGAAACTACATCTAACATCCCTGGTTGCGGCGCTTTACAGCATAAGGCGTAGTATACAAGACAGGACATTACATCTTACTCCTGTCTGCGACGCTTTACAGCATGAATAGTAGTATACAAGATAGGAAACTACATCTAACTCTTGTCTGCGGCGCTTTACAGCATGAATAGTAGTATACAATATAGGAAACTACATCTTACTCCTGTCTGCGGCGCTTTACAGCATGAGGCGTAGTATACAAGACAGGAAACTATATCTAACTCCTGTCTGCGGCGCTTTACAGCATGAAGAGTAGTATACAAGACAGGAAACTATATCTAACTCCTGTCTGCGACGCTTTACAGCATGAGGCGTAGTATACAAGACAGTAAACTATATCTAACTCTTGTCTGCGGCGCTTTACAGCATGAGGAGTAGTATACAAGACAGGAAACTATATCTAACTCTTGTCTGCGGCGCTTTACAGCATAAGGCGTAGTATACAAGACAGGAAACTATATCTAATACCTGTCTGCGACGCTTTACAGCATGAGGAGTAGTATACAAGACAGGAAACTATGTCTAATACATGTCTGCGACGCTTTACAGCATGAGGCGTAGGATACAAGACAGGAAACTATATCTTACTCCTGTCTGCGGCGCTTTACAGCATGAGGCGTAGTATACAAGACAGGAAAATATATCTAACTCCTGTCTGCGACGCTTTACAGCATGAGGCGTAGTATACAAGACAGTAAACTATATCTAACTCTTGTCTGCGGCGCTTTACAGCATGAGGAGTAGTATACAAGACAGTAAACTATATCTAACTCTTGTCTGAGGCGCTTTACAGCATGAGGAGTAGTATACAAGACAGGAAACTATATCTAATACCTGTCTGCGACGCTTTACAGCATGAGGAGTAGTATACAAGACAGGAAACTATATCTAACTCCTGTCTGCGGCGCTTTACAGCATGAGGAGTAGTATACAAGACAGGAAACTATATCTAATACATGTCTGCGACGCTTTACAGCATGAGGCGTAGGATACAAGATAGGAAACTACATCTAACTCCTGTCTGCGGCGCTTTACAGCATGAGGCGTAGTATACAAGACAGGAAACTATATCTAACTCCTGTCTGCGGCGCTTTACAGCATGAAGAGTAGTATACAAGACAGGAAACTACATCTAACATCCCTGGTTGCGGCGCTTTACAGCATGAGGAGTAGTATACAAGACAGGAAACTATATCTAACTCCTGTCTGCGGCGCTTTACAGCATGAGGAGTAGTATACAAGACAGGAAACTATGTCTAATACCTGTCTGCGACGCTTTACAGCATGAGGCGTAGTATACAAGATAGGAAACTACATCTAACTCCTGTCTGCGGCGCTTTACAGCATGAGGCGTAGTATACAAGACAGGAAACTACATCTAACTCCTGTCTGCGGCGCTTTACAGCATGAGGAGTAGTATACAAGACAAGAAACTATATCTAACTCCTGTCTGCGGCGCTTTACAGCATGAAGAGTAGTATACAAGACAGGAAACTATATCTAACTCCTGTCTGCGGCGCTTTACAGCATGAAGAGTAGTATACAAGACAGGAAACTATATCTAACTCCTGTCTGCGGCGCTTTACAGCATGAAGAGTAGTATACAATATAGGAAACTATATCTAACTCCTGTCTGCGGCGCTTTACAGCATGAAGAGTAGTATACAAGACAGGAAACTATATCTAACTCCTGTCTGCGGCGCTTTACAGCATGAAGAGTAGTATACAAGACAGGAAACTACATCTAACTCCTGTCTGCGGCGCTTTACAGCATGAGGCGTAGTATACAAGACAGGAAACTATATCTAACTCTTGTCTGCGGCGCTTTACAGCATGAGGAGGAGTCTACAAGACAAGAAACTATATCTAACTCTTGTCTGCGGCGCTTTACAGCATGAGGCGTAGTATACAAGACAGGAAACTATATCTAACTCCTGTCTGCGGCGCTTTACAGCATGAGGCGTAGTATACAAGACAGGAAACTATATCTAACTCCTGTCTGCGGCGCTTTACAGCATGAGGAGGAGTCTACAAGACAGGAAACTATATCTAACTCCTGTCTGCGGCGCTTTACAGCATAAGGCGTAGTATACAAGACAGGAAACTACATCTAACTCTTGTCTGCGGCGCTTTACAGCATAAAGAGTAGTCTACAAGACAGGAAACTATATCTAACTCCTGTCTGCGACGCTTTACAGCATGAATAGTAGTATACAAGATAGGAAACTACATCTAACTCCTGTCTGCGGCGCTTTACAGCATGAGGAGTAGTATACAAGGCAGGAAACTATATCTTATGAGACTCTTTACAACATGAGGAGTAGAATACAAGACAGGAAACTACATCTAACTCCTGTCTGCGACGCTTTACAGCATGAGGAGTAGAATACAAGACAGGAAACTACTTTTAACTCCTGTCTTCTACGCTTTACAACATGAGGAGTAGAATACAAGACAGGAAACTACTTTTAACTCCTGTCTGCGACTCTATACAACATGAGGAGTAGAATACAAGACAGGAAACTACTTTTAACTCCTGTCTGCGACTCTATACAACATGAGGAGTAGAATACAAGACAGGAAACTACTTTTAACTCCTGTCTGCGATGCTTTACAGCATGGACAGTAAGACAGTTGGGTCACGCTCATACGCTCCCCGTCGCACCAGACAGATGTCAGATTGTATGGAAGCAAGCTTTTTCTATGTTGCTATGGTTGGGATCTACAAACAACTAACACTTCATTGAAAATTATAGGTAGTCATAGTTCCAGTGTATGCTCATCTAGTTCGACATTGTGCTATTTCTCAATTGTAAAGCTATTTTTAACAGGAAAAGTAGGCATTTTAAAATCGTCTATGCTTTTTCACCAGATAGATTGGCCGGTTCCGCACCATTTGGTGGATAATTCATGTATGACAAGATATTGTGAGGGCCCTTTGGGAGCGAGTGAACAGTGCTGAGGCACAGATGGGTCATTACGGTCGGAGGAGAATGGCGTTGCGAGGAGTTACCAGGGGATCTGGCCGACGCTCAACACTCAGAACAAGGGCGAAACGGATATACAATCAAACAGTTACTGGTGGCATCGGAACTGGAAATCTTTGCTTGCTGCTGAAGATGGTGACAAAGCGCTTATGGGAGTGTCCCGAGTGCTATGATGTCTATTCTTAATTCAACATTTAACATATTTGCTTATTCACCATCTCTAATACCCCCGCTCTTTTTGTCTGTGTGTGTGTGTGTTTGCCCGTGTGTATGTGTGAACTCTCATGTTACCTCTCGTGCCCTGTAATGTTCCAGTTCAAGGACATTCTAATTTAACTATGTTCGTGTTCTCAGTGCTTGCTTTATCCAGCGACAGCGTCTTGACCTCACTTTGTTTTCCAGTTCAACTCTAACCAAAAGCTTCGCATTTGTGATTTGTCATACAATTTAAATATTTATATTCTCTTCGTGTGGGATCCGGGTCATGATTGTGTGTGTGGGGGGGGGGGGGGGGGAACCACTGGACCTAGCAAGCATGTCGTAGGAGGCAATTAATTAGCGGAGTTTCCTTAGAAGTCAGAGTACAACTGTATGAGAGGCCAAGAACCGGACCCACCACCTCGTGGCACTCGAAAAAACATGTACGGGGGAGGCTACTTCAAAAGAAAACTTTAAAACTGTTATAGAAAGTCGGAAGCCATCTTTGAACTGTCGTTATGACGTCACCGGGTTCGTCTGCATCATGATGTCACATGCTTAACACTCTTGACATTCTTAACAATAATATCGACAGGTTATAAGACAGTTACATGGTACTGTTATCAATTACTGTGAGATGAAGAGGAGGAACTTTATCACTGGCCATAATTGGTACCACCATAAACTATGGATCCCATGCCACTCTAAAACACATTATAACTCTATTGCCTGAAAAGACGAAAAGATGTGTACACATTTACTCACGCACTCGCGCGCGCGGGTACACATAAGCAAACACACACACACACACACACACAACTGACAGAAGATTACCCAGCTATGTTTGTGGGTATTATTTGCAGGACTGGCCATTGCCATCTTTGACTTCACCCTCAAGATCCTCATCTGTGCCTCCTACGTGGTTCGTGTCCATCTCGATGACATCACACAGTATGAATGGTTAGTGGTCAGCAACAACAAAAACACCAAAAAACCATCATCCTCTTTATCATCTTTGTTATCATTAACACCATTATCACCATCAGCATTAATACCATCATCGTCAAAAAAAAAAAAAAAACCTTCGTCGTGATCACCTTTATTATTGTCATCATAGTTTAGATAATCATTCATCACTATTAGCTTCATCATTTGATAATCATTCATCACTTTTAGCTTTATCATTTGATAATCATTCATCACTATTACCTTCATCATTTGATAATCATTCATCACTATTAGCTTCATCATTTGATAATCATTCATCACTATTAGCTTCATCATTTGATAATCATTCATCACTATTAGCTTCATCATTTGATAATCATTCATCACTATTACCTTCATCATCGTCTTCAGTATAATCGCCCACATCATCATCATCATCGACAAAACCCCTTCAGTGGTTACTTTAACCTTCATGACCATAATCATGATCCTCATCGTACCCTTCCACACGTCTCCAGGTGTAGTGGGCATATAGGGTTAGGATTATATTTTAAGATCAATGGGCACTCAGTGAATCATGTGGGCAACATCGCCGCCTGCCTTTACTTCCCAAGACTTTGTCTGGTATATATTTAAGGCTGGGCCGGTCTGGGTGCCAAGGTCATTTTTGAAAAAAAGGCTTTATGGAGACCTGAACCCAGGACCTTTGGATCCGCAGGCGAGCGGCTACAACACGGCGGTCCCCTTATGGTAATAATAATAGTCAATATGATTATTACTCTCATTGTTGTCATTTATTGTATTAAACAATTTATGCGCCCTATTGTTTTTGTCTTCGTAATTAATTAAACAGTAGCGACAATCCAGAAAAAAAAATTATGGAAGATAATATGCTACTGTAAGATGGCTATTGTCACATTCACGATTTAAAAAAAAAAAAAAACTTCTTTATCTCGCCAATTGGATATGTCATTCTTTCATAAATATAGAAGCAACATGTTGAAACAACACGTGCCTATTTAACACACAAGCACGCTTAGCTGAGTTGAGTTGAGTCAAGAATTGACATCACAGCCCTCGAGGCATTCCCATGTGCGGCCCGTCCTCATCTGCAGCAGCCAGTGCAGAGTTCCAATACTGATGGTGCCGGTCACAATCTGGTTATAATCCCATCTTGCCTTTCCTCTGAGTGTAGTGAGCCGGCCAGACCCTCTGTGAGTGTAGTGAACCGGCCAGACCCTCTGTGAGTGTAGTGAGCCGGCCAGACCCTCTGTGAGTGTAGTGAGCCAGCCAGACCCTCTGTGAGTGTAGTGAGCCGGCCAGACCCTCTGTGAGTGTAGTGAGCCGGCCAGACCCTCTGTGAGTGTAGTGAGCCGGCCAGACCCTCTGTGAGTGTAGTGAGCCGGCCAGACCCTCTGTGAGTGTAGTGAGCCGGCCAGACCCTCTGTGAGTGTAGTGAGCCGGCCAGACCCTCTGTGAGTGTAGTGAGCCGGCCAGACCCTCTGTGAGTGTAGTGAGCCGGCCAGACCCTCTGTGAGTGTAGTGAGCCGGCCAGACCCTCTGGTTACACCCAAGTACATCATTCTCTCTAGGCCATAATACTCTTGTTTCTCTTCTGGCTTCATGTTCCCAAAGGGTTTTGTCCATATCTGCCTTGTCATGTATCAATTCACTACCCAGTGGTGACGATCCAGCCAGTCTGTCTGACTGTTCATTCCCCACCACGCTGGCATTTTTAGAGAAAAGATCCAAAGTAGGGCAGTAATGAAGATACGGTCTGCGGAGATGATAGCGATATTAAAATAAGGATACAAAAAGGCAAGTCGAGCTTTCGTAGCACTAGGGAATTTGTGCAGGTCAAAACAAATTAAAAGTAATACCAAACTTAAAATGTTTAATTCTAATGTCAAATCAGTAATTTTGTATGGGGCGGAAACATGAAAAACATCTAAGGCAATTAATTACTAATAAATCACAGACATTCATTAACTGGTGCCTGCGCAGAATAGAGGAAATTGAATGGTATGATAGAATCACTAATGTAGAGCTTTGGGAGAGAACTAAGCATGCGCCAGTGGACCAAGAGGTGAGGAAAATACGCTGGCGTTGGATAGGACACACACTGAGAAAACCGGATTACAGCATAACTAGAATGTGTTTGTATTGGAACCCACGGGGGCATAGAATTAAATGAAGGCTAAAAAAAAAAACACATGGAGAAGAGAGCTGGAGAATGAAGTTAGAAAGATAGGGAGCTCCATGCAATAGCGAAGGATAGAACAACTTGGTGTGAGTTGGTTCAGGGCCTATGCTTCATTGGGGGATAGAAAGGCAGAAAAAGAAGAATGCTTACTACCCGTGACTTTCCCAGTAAAACATGCCACTCTGCTAGAAGCATCTCTGTCTTCATCTTTCTCAGCATGCTCACAGAGCTTGTTACAATTAAGATATGTGTTTGCATCTTGTTCTCTAGCCACCAGAAAGCTGCAGTGACTACCTCCGTCTCCATTCTCATGCTAGACGATGTGGTATTGTATGATAGGCTGTCATGCACTAAAGATTTTCTATTGACTCTTGCTACGAATCCCCAGGAACTTCTTTTCCCTCTCAACACCGAACCATTTGTATAGATAATCAGATTATTAGGACGAGAATTGTCATGAACCAACCGTTGGACAATCATGCCTAATACAGTCACATTAAGATACACGTGAACTATACCTTATTGATGTGCTTTCATCTGTGCAGTTACGGTGTTCCATGTACTACGCTGGAGAACTCCACACACAGTGAGCGAGATCTCATATTCGAGGAAGACCAGGTGAACTGGTAGGTGATCTCTCTATGTCTACCTTCTTTTGGTTGTCGTAATCATCGTTGTCTTCTTCACACAAACATTATGTAGCAGAAATCATAGGGATATTCCCTAGGTGTGTGGGCTAAGCGATTCTACTAGCGTGATTCGGTAGGTCGAGACAGGCTCTGTACACAAATAGTTGTTTAGGTCAGTGCGGGGCTCTACCTTTATTTTTGTTCCCAGGGAATGAGGGTGTTAGTGGCGATGAATGCGCTGATAGATTTGCCAGCTATGCTTTGGTTGCAGATGGCGGTCTTATGGATCGCGCTGACATAGCTTTTTTTTTTTTTTTTAAACATTGTTTAAAGACATTCTATTTACATTGTTGTATCGGCACCGCCAGACACGAGAAGCAAGCCGGATGTAAGAGATATTTTCAACCAACATACGACTGGCACTATTGATCTCAAGACGATGATGTTTATGTTCAAGAGGGATCTGAGCACTTAAGGACGTGCCCGGAGTGCCGTGAATCTAACCCAACCCATAACTCACATCGCTGCATTGAAAGTAGCCTATGATTTGCCTAATACTTTGTCCTGCGTCTAAGCGATGCACTAGTTAAATCTTTCCAGAGTGCATCGCCTCACAGCAGGACCCACGTAGTCTTTTATAACACTATCGACTGGAACGACAGAAAGGTACCAATCAATTCAACCATCGCCTGACACCCCCCCCCCCACCCCGACATACACACATACACATTCTCCTCTGGGTTCAGGTCGCCACTGCAGAGGAAAATTTCGTTATAGCAATAGTCCGGGCTAGAAGTCGGAATGCATCTGCTTGAGAGGCAAGAAACCAATAGTCTGCATACAAATAATCCAGATCTGTAAACGGATATATGTATATACATATATACATATATCTTTATTGCAAGACAGCCTAGCATGAGAATGGAGGTGGAGCCGGTAACTGCAGCTCTCCGGTGGCTAGAGAACAAGATGCATACACATGTTTTATTACTGCCTAGAGAGAATGAGACACCTGGGTGTAACCAGAGGATCTGGCCGGCTCACTACACTCAGAGGAAGGGCAAGACGGATATTTAACCAGAATGTGACCGGTACCATCAGTACTGGAACTCTGCGCTGGCTGCTGAAGATAAGGATGAAGCATGCAAGGGAATGCCCCGAGTGCTGTAATGTCAATTCTTAACTCAACTCAACATATATACATACATACATACGTATCATCTTCCTGGAATCCTGGTGCCTTGAGGATTATGAAACGTGCGCATCGATATCTAAGCCACGGAACCGCACGGTTGTCCATCGCTAGTCCTAAATGCTGGCATCATCTTTACAAGTTAGGAGTTCTAACAAACATAAAGCAGACTGTTCTAATGTTGTCTGTTTCTTGTCGCAGGTACGTTCTGCTGTGGGTTCAGCGAAGCAATCCAGTCTGGATTATGGAGATCTTCCTGGCCTTTATCGAGTTGGTCAAGTCTTTGCTAATGGTTTACATAGCCACAAAGGTCAGAATCTATCACCGTTTTGAAGATTAACATGTAAATTATGACCACAATAACACATTGCAGACAGACCGAGGCTTCTACGCCAACGAGTGGGGAATTTATACATGACAGGTGTGATATTGTCAGGGCTCTTTTGGAGCAGCTGAATAATGCGGAGGTACGAATAGATCATTACGGTCGGGAGAGAATTGTACAGCTGGAAGTGACCAGGGAATTTGTTCGACACTACACTCAGAGAAGTGACCAGGGAATGTGTTCGACACTACACTCAGAGAAGTGACCAGGGGATGTGTTCGACACTAAACTCAGAGAAGTGACCAAGGGATCTTTTCGACACTCTACACTCAGAGGAAAGCTAAGGCGGACATATAATTAAACTGCTTCTGGCAGCACAAACATGGTAACTCTTCGCTGGCTGCTGAAAATTAATTGAGCGTTTATGGAAATGTACCGAGTGCTATAAAATCAGTTCTTTGCTCGACACCGATTATTCAGGCAAGCTGCATAATTTTCCTGCTTCTTCCTCTTTATCGTTCCGAACCCTTGAGATGTATTGCTGCATATATCACCCGCCTCGATTCATCTCTGTGACTGACGTTTTCATTTCACTTTGTGACTCCAAGTGTCTCTATGTTTGCCTGTATATTATCTATTTACTATCTTCTCGGTCTTCTCCTATTCATTACATAATGTATTGCCTAGAATATTTGGTTGCATCTCACAAGAATCATAAACTGAATAAAAACGACATCACACATTGAATACCACTTGGTCTGTAAAGATTACTGGAAGAGTATAGCAACTGACTGTGTCATGGGACTGAATAAGAAAGTAAATGCTTTGTAAAGAAGACTTTTTTACGTCAATGTTGCATTAGGAATATGAGACTGGACATATGTCTAAAAGAAATATAGACTAATCGCCGTCCGTGATTGATGTGGTCAACATCACACCGGACACCTTTACTTCCCAGTCACATTATAGGCTGGACCCCACCCGAGAGTAAAGGTCTATTTTGGTGAGAGACAAAAATGTGTCTCGATGAGGATTTGAACTCAAAAACTTCCGGCTGGCAGGCCAGTGTTGATTTATTTTTTACAAAAGTTCTTGTTACGAGGTGTAACATGAAGCTTTCTTCTGCGTGTTGTGGTTGTTACTGTTGTCGTTTCTGTTGACCTGTAACACTTAGTGACAAGTATCTTACTCCGCTGCTCCGACAGGGTCACCGAATGGAACAGGTGATGAGTCTTACCTTCGTCTTGGAACTGCTGTGTGGTTTCAACATGCTGATCACGGTAAACATTGGATTCTTTCACTCCCAGCTTTCCAAACAGTGTCGCCACATCAATGTCCCAGCTGCAACGTCAAGAGTTAAACAGAATAATCGGTTTTCACATCTTTTATAACGGTTACCTTTGCTAGTAGACCGAATTACTCTGTCATGAAATTATATTTAACTAGAAAGTGTCTCACTAGCATCACACATAAGAAAGCTCTGCATTAGCGTCTGTAGCTTGGGCGTTGCAAACGAGCTTCTTAATGGCGGGTGCCGGGTTCGATCCCAGCTGCGGACGATTTGTCAGGCGTTGGTTTTGACAGTAGTACCGAGAGTTGGCCGTTTATCAAGCAATGGCAGACAACTGAACGTAAAATTTGCCTAGAAAAAGCACAACAGCCAATAAATGCTGGGGTTGGTTCTGCAATGTCCTGTAAAGGATACGAAGAGAAGATTAAAAAAAAAAAAAAACAGAACCAAAAGTATATCAGCAAGCTACACAATATAACGAACACAAACAACACTTGAACGTTGCGGCTCTGAGGCCTTCAACAGCAGATACATGAATCAAAGAATACCATACAAATACACAAAATCAGTTAGCTGGTATCTTAAAGCAGCTGGGTCGATGTCTTGTCAGTAGACTGACAAGACACGTGGGACTGGAGAATAAATATCCCCGGTGGAATGCTAGGGGCCGTAACCAGAGGGTTTGAGATAAAACTGTGAGGGCAGTTCAATCCCCTAGGATTTTAGCTAAAACTATGTGGGCAGTTCAAACCCCTAGGATTTTAGATAAATTTGTGTGGGCAGTTCAATCCCCTAGGATTTTAGATAAAACTATGTGGGCAGTTTAATCCCCTGGGATGTTAGATAAAACTGTGTGGTCAGTTCAATCCCCTAGGATGTTAGATAAAACTGTGTGGGCAGTTCAATCCCCTGGGATTTTAGCTAAACCTATGTGGGCAGTTCAAACCCCTAGGATTTTAGATAAATTTGTGTGGGCAGTTCAATCCCCTAGGATTTTAGATAAAACTATGTGAGCAGTTCAATCCCCTGGGATGTTAGATAAAACTGTGTGGGCAGTTCAATCCCCTGGGATGTTAGATAAAACTATGTGGGCAGTTCAATCCCCTGGGATTTTAGATAAAACTATGTGGGCAGTTCAATCCCCTGGGATTTTAGATAAAACTATGTGGGCAGTTCAATCCCCTGGGATTTTAGATAAAACTGTGTGGGCAGTTCAATCCCCTGGGATTTTAGATAAAACTGTGTGGGCAGTTCAATCCCCTGGGATTTTAGATAAAACTATGTGGGCAGTTCAATCCCCTGGGATTTTAGATAAAACTGTGTGGGCAGTTCAATCCCCTGGGATTTTAGATAAAACTGTGTGGGCAGTTCAATCCCCTGGGATTTTAGATAAAACTATGTGGGCAGTTCAATCCCCTGGGATCTTAGATAAAACTGTGTGGGCAGTTCAATCCCCTAGGATTTTAGATAAAACCGTGTTGGCAGTTCAGTCTTTTGCACTCACCTAAATAACTTTATCGCCTGCCTACAGCTAGGGGTAGCTGTAGCTGCAGATGTTAAATATATTTTTTTGTAATAATATAAATAAGTAGAAGAAGACCGCAGTGCTCTTGCCTCCAATACAAGTAGTACGACTAGGAAGTTGATACCCGTGTTGCCATCACACACACACACGCGCGCGCGCGCATATATATATATATATATATATATATATATATATATATATATAGAGAGAGAGAGAGAGAGAGAGAGAGAGAGGGGGGAGTATATATATATATATATACTTAGTGAAAACTTTGTATGCCAATTATTACTCTGGTGGTTCAACATGATATTTTTGTGAAAATTACTACTACTGTGCAGACCGCCTAAGGCGATCTCAAATGTGGCAAATTTCTGTTATGAAGAAAAATTTGTTTATCCCCTGCAATTTTTTCTTGCTTGAATTCTTATCTGGATAAGATGAATTCTGATAATTAGACGAATTTTTGGGTCCCCGGTGAATATTTTGATAGTCAACAATGAAATTCTCGTAATTTATATGATGCCCATTGATCCTCTCTGGCAGCTGGTTCCTGTACTGAAGAGCTTGTTTGTTCCTGTGTTCCTCAACTGTTGGTTGGCCAGGCTGGCACTGGAAAGGATTTATGTAAGTTGCCTTGTGAATATGGAAATAGATTTTTTATAATTATAAAATATAATAATTTTGGTCGTCATGTTATGAGAAGAGGGAAACTGGAACATGTTGTGACCACCGGAAAGAACGGTGGAAAGAGAGACAAGGGAAGACAACGTGAGAAGATTCTTGACAGTCTTTTGTCGTTACATGGAGGGGTGTCAACTGATACACGCAGATTTTGGAGAGGCATGATCGTCCATGCCGGTCGGCAAGGACTTGATGATGATGATTATGATGATTGTGGCTGTTAAAAAACACATTTATAGCATGTGAAGATAAAGTTAGCCTGAAGACGACAACAGTGTATATTTGTGTATATTTAACAAGCGTACTGAAATATATACTTTTGCACTTTACATGTCAGTAGAAATTAAAGACGGTAAATTTACATATGTCAGTGCCAGATGTTACATTATAATGTAACCAAATATGAAACGAACACCCCTAAATGGGTTTGGGTTAGCTCAGAAAGGCGGGAAACAGTACAATGCTGCCAACATAAGGGAAATAACTGGCGTGAGGTTAGTTTACAATTACAATATGTGTCTGTGAGTGCGTATGTTCGTATGGCTACGAAAATCTCTCTCTCTCTCTCTCTCTCTTTCTCTCTCTCTCTCTGTGTGTGTGTGTGTGCGTGTGTGTGTGTGTGGCTAAAACTACGTCAGCAAATGTTTAGTTTCATGTAAAATATGTTGTAAACATGTCCTTGTTATGTGAATCCCTTGGCATCGCTGACCTGTCGTCCCCATGTGTAAAATAATTTTTCGTTTTTTTTTTCTTCTTCTTTGCGTTCGGTTTTGTATGCTCAGCTCAGACCATCAGGTGGGTTGCCTCTATGAACTCGCATGTCAGCTGCAGGTCCTGCATGGTTCCCCATAGCTTGCTCTGCAATCTTTGCTCTTGAGGCCAGGTGTCTTTTCGAAGTTGCAGGTAGAGTGGGCAGGTCTGCAGAATGTGCTGAGGTGTTTGGGGTCCTGTTTGACATGCACACTGGAGGAACTGTAAAATCTTTATTTTATGCATGTGGTAGTTGAGCCTGCAGTATCCTGTTCGTAGACGGAAAATTGTTGTATGTTGCTTTCTGTTGAGTCTGATGGTGGGGTCTTGTGGATGTTTACTGTTAGTTTGTTCTCTCTACAATACCTTGTATTTTCCTTTGATATGTGCTCTGATTTCTGGTAATGACAATGAATCGGCATGTTGTTTCTCCTTTGTTCCATTTTTTGCAAGTCTGTCTGCTAACTCATTTCATGGTATGCCGCAGTGAGCAGTGGTCCACTGGAGAACTATTTGATTGTTGTCTGTGAATCTGTTTAGCTGACGGGTCAGTTCTCTTTCCATGTTGTCTCGTGGATCCCTATGAGTTGCCTGGAGGACTGACATGCAGTCACAAAAGAAAACAATTTTGCTGTTTTAAATTTTTCTTTCCTCGAGCACTTTGGCTGAATCAATAATTGCTTGCTGCACTGCTCTGAAGTTTGTTGAGAGTCTTCCAGAGGCGCATGACGTTTCTACTGTGGTCCCATCTTGCAGCATGATGACCGATCCAGCTCCTCCATTTTTGTCTGCTCCCTCCAATGATCCATCGATGTATACGTGTGTCCATTCGGGTTTTGCATAACAGTTGTAGACAAGTTCAAGGGTCTTTGCATGCATTGCTGGGTAACATTCTTCAGCCTTTCTGTCTATGCCTGGGATTGTTGTTGTGACTGTTTATTTAGGCTGTAGGTCCCATGTTAAAAGATCTCTAGAAAGGATGTCACTGTTTTTTGTGTAGTACAATTTTGCTAGACGGTGAAAGCTTTGTCTTTTCAGTCGGTTTTTGGTTAAGTTATTTGCTATTCTGTGCATGGGGTTGTTGTTCATGCGTTAAAATTTTTCTGTTAGGGTAAACACCTTTTCTTCCTCTCGAAGGCTCAAGCTCTCGAGGCCACAGGTTGCCTCCAGCTCATTTACTGGTGTGCTTCTCATACCTCCAGTGATGATTCTGAGACCAGTGTTCTGTATTTTATCCAGTTTGTGTAGGTTTGATTTGGCTGCAGTGGAGTATGCTCCCATGCCATACTCCAGTTTTGGTCGTACGTATCCAGTGTATACTTGACGTACAGTGTTGTCATCTGCACCCCAGCTTGTTGCAGTAAGTTTCTTTATTTTGTAAGTCTGAGACTCAGGGTAGCTTTCCCTTGGGTGTCTTCAATGTGGGGCCCGGGGTTAGCCTTTTGTCAAATTTACTCCCAAATATGTGGGATTATCTTCTTTTGGAAGGATGTTGCCTTTTAGGTACAGATCAACTTGTTCTGGCTTTGTGGAAAGAGAGAATAACGTTGAGACGGTTTTGGTCTGGTTTATTGTGACTCCCCAAGAGTCTGTCCATTTCTTAACTGTATTTATAGCTTCCTGCATTCTTGTTTTAGTTGTTCCTATATGTTCAGCTTGAGTCCATATGGCCAGGTCATCTGCATGTAGTGCCTTGTGAATGTGAGTCGTGAACTGTTTTGGGAGGTCATTGATGAAAAGAATAAACAGGGTAGGAGATATAACACCTCCCTGGGTGACACCTTCTTGTAATCTGACCAGCTTGCTCTTGTGATCTTCCAGTCTGACTCTCTTTCGTTATTTTGAAGCCCCACCCTGTCTTTTGCCGGGGCCCTAAATATAGCCTGACGGCTGTACAGGGTTTCTGGGACCTCTCCACGGGTGATCCTCATTCGCATGGTGGCACTTTGTGTCACCGAGTGTTTGGCGCTTGTGTGATGTCCTGATGGGGTACAACTTACTTACTTACATCGGTGATCTTCGTATTCTTCTTTCTTTTTTTTTTCTTTTTCTTTCTTTCTTTCTTTCTTTCTTTCTTTCTTTCTTTCTTTCTTTCTTTCTTTCTTTCTTTCTTTCTTTCTTTCTTTCTTTCTTTCTTTCTTTCTTCCTTTCTTTCTTTCTTTCTTTCTTTCTTTCTTTCTTTCTTTCTTTCTGTAAACTGTAAACTCCAGCGTACAGTTCTGTTAGATCACCCCCTTTATATCTTTTGTCTTGTTCCAAAACGTGCAGTTTGTCTGCGTATCCGTTTTACAAATCAGACATGTCTATACCCACGGTTGGTTTCTCATCTACCAGGCATATGCACTCCTACTTCAACGGAAAGACTCTAACTAGTCGCCTTTAACGACATGATTGTTAGGGGGCCTTGTGTCTATTCCCCCCCCCCCCCCCCCGCCCAACAAAATAGCCGTATACAGAACGAAGACCCTAAACCCACAGGAGGAGTCAGTGCTGTCAATGCCACAGGAAGATGTGTGAGTGCATGATGCATTGATGTAAGAGGTTCACCCCTTGTGTGGGTACGTAAGGAAGAATATAAATAAACGGTACTGTTTCCACATTCTGAAACTCATTGGGCATGAGTATTGTCAAGTTGGGTCAAGAACCGGCGTCACAGCACTCCGGGCATTTGTACAGACGCAGCATCGTCATCTTCAGCAGTCGGCGCATTTGTACAGACGCGGCATCGTCATCTTCAGCAGTCGGCGCATTTGTACAGACGCGGCATCGTCATCTTCAGCAGTCGGCGCATTTGTACAGACTCAGCATCGTCACCTTTAGCAGAGAATTGTGATTATGATACAGGCAGTAGCATGTCTGATTAGATGTTTGATATCTTTGTCACTCCCCCGCCGCGGCACCAGTTACTCCACATTGCAGTAAACTGTTAGCGCTTCCAAACTGTTCAGTTCCTCCGAAAGGGTCTTGGCCACATCAGTTTTTACAGCATCAGGAAATCTGTCTACTGTTTATTTTCCAACTCACCCTATTCCTCAAAAAAAAAAAAAAAAAAAAAAAAAAAAAAAAAAAAAAAATTATATATATATATATATATATATATATATATATATATATATATATATATATATATAGGTTGCTAACAGCCTGAGATCTCTAAAGCCATGCTTGCCACTCTTAACGAAGCATGCCTTTCTCATGCATTTTTCAACATTTCTTATGCCCTTTTTTTCAATCTTTCTCAACATTATCTGTGAGACTATCAGTCACGACTTGTGTGTGCAGCTGGTTGTTTCTGAAGCCAGAGAAAAGCTGCAGTGACTGCCTCCACCTCCATTCTCAAACTAGATATTATGGGATATGTCCTAAGCTTTGCTTCGCTAGGCAACATCTATTCGCTTTTGCAAGGGAACCCCCACACACTTTACCGCCACTCAACAAAGATGCCTCTGTCTAGATGTATTTAGCGTATGGCGCTCTGTAAGTAAAAGTACCTGACTGGACAGACCTCAGGCATGCAACCAGGAAGTCGATCGCAACTTACCGCCAAAGATGGAGGCAACTGGTCAGACAGTCCACAGAAACTGGTGACCTAATGACACGTACTGTTACGGGATAATGATGATGATGATGTAAGTAAAAGTGACCTTAGACCCCAGTGGCACATCGGGCACATGAGGCTAGACTAATATGGGTTCTTTCGTAATATTTTTCCCCAGATGACGTCACAATACAGTCCACCATTTTGAAGGGTGGTAAGAGTGGGTGTTCCGACTTTCTTATGCTTTTAACGACCCTGAAATATGTAGAACTTTTCCTAACCCCAACCCACTTAAGTCCCACGAGAGAGTGCAGCCTAGGTCCCACGACTACATGGAGCCTAACTACCACCTCCTGAAATAATAGACTGTCCCGTGACCTGTGGATTTATCCTGTTTGGGGTAGGATACTAAAAAGGTACCCAAACAGTTTTTAGAACTTTCGGCCCTCGATGAATGATGTATTCAGCATTACGCCGGTCGCCTTTACTTCCCATGATATTACTTGCTGCCCATTTAAGGCTAAGTCCACCTGGGAAGTAAGGTTTCATATGATGAAAATCTGACAGCATGGGGATTTGAACCCACGATCTTTTGTTCCGCAGGCAAGCGTATAGCGGACACACCACAGCGGCTCTCATAGTGCTGTGTACAGCTAGACAGGAAATCTTGGCCTGTTATTGTTGTTTTGATATTCAAGGAGTGGCTGAATGTTCTTTATGGAATCAACACAGGGAAAAATATATATATAACATGCCCACTCATAGAATGACCTTCTCTCCTACACTTCACATAAGACGTAGGGTATATGTCACAGAATGACCTACATCTCCCATAAAATGTACCGTATATCCACAGAATGACCTACATCTCCCATAAAATGTACCGTACATCCACAGAATGACCTACATCTCCCATAAAATGTAACCGTATATCCACATATTGACCTACATCTCCCATAAAATGTAACCGTATATCCACAGAATGACCTACATCTCCCATAAAATGTAACCGTACATCCACAGAATGACCTACGTCTTCCATAAAATGTAACCGTACATCCACAGAATGACCTACATCTCCCATAAAATGTAACCCTATATCCACAGAATGACCTACATCTCCCATAAAATGTTACCGTATATCCACAGAATGACCTACATCTCCCATAAAATGTACCGTATATCCACAGAATGACCTACATCTCCCATAAAATGTACCGTATATCCACAGAATAACCTACATCTCCCATAAAATGTAACCGTATATCCACAGAATAATCTACATCTCCCATAAAATGTACCGTATATCCACAGAATGACCTACATCTCCCATAAAATGTAACCGTATATCCACAGAATGACCTACATCTCCCATAAAATGTAACCGTACATCCACAGAATGACCTACGTCTTCCATAAAATGTAACCGTACATCCACAGAATGACCTACATCTCCCATAAAATGTAACCCTATATCCACAGAATGACCTACATCTCCCATAAAATGTTACCGTATATCCACAGAATGACCTACATCTCCCATAAAATGTACCGTATATCCACAGAATGACCTACATCTCCCATAAAATGTACCGTATATCCACAGAATAACCTACATCTCCCATAAAATGTAACCGTATATCCACAGAATAATCTACATCTCCCATAAAATGTACCGTATATCCACAGAATGACCTACATCTCCCATAAAATGTAACCGTATATCCACAGAATGATCTACATCTCCCATAAAATGTACCGTATATCCACAGAATGACCTACAACTCCCATAAAATGTAACCGTATATCCACAGAATGACCCACATCTCCCATAAAATGTACCGTATATCCACAGAATGACCTACATCTCCCATAAAATGTAACCGTATATCCACAGAATGACCCACATCTTCCATAAAATGTAACCGTATATCCACAGAATGACCTACATCTCCCATAAAATGTAACCGTATATCCACAGAATGACCTACATCTCCCATAAAATGTACCGTATATCCACAGAATGACCTACATCTCCCATAAAATGTAACCGTATATCCACAGAATGACCCACATCTCCCATAAAATGTACCGTATATCCACAGAATGACCTACATCTCCCATAAAATGTAACCGTATATCCACAGAATGACCCACATCTTCTATAAAATGTAACCGTATATCCACAGAATGATCTACATCTCCCTTTAAATGTACCGTATATCCACAGAATAACCTACACACCCCATAAAATGTAACCGTATATCCACAGAATGACCTACATCTTCCATAAAATGTAACCGTATATCAACAGAATGACCCACATCTCCCATAAAATGTACCGTATATCCACAGAATGACCTACATCTCACTAGCCAGCGTTTCCAGACGGTATCTGTGAGGTTGTCAAAGAAGATGATTTTGTTGGTTATGAATATCGCCTGTCTCACCTTTACCACGTGAGTATCCCTGTCTGATAGACATTACCTGTCTCACCTTTACCGCGTGAGTACACCTGTCTGATAGACATTACCTGTCTCACCTTTAACACGTTAGTATACCTGTCTGATAGACATTACATGTCTCACCTTTACTATGTAAGTATACCTGTCTGATGGACATTACCTGTCTCACCTTTACAATGTAAGTATACCTGTCTGATGGACATTACCTGTCTCACCTTTAACACGTGAGTATAGCTGTCTGATAGACATTACCTGTCTCACCTTTACTATGTAAGTATACCTGTCTGATAGACATTACCTGTCTCACCTTTACTATGTAAGTATACCTGTCTGATGGACATTACCTGTTTCACCTTTAACACGTGAGTATAGCTGTCTGATAGACATTACCTGTCTCACCTTTACTACGTAAGTATATCTGTCTTATAGACGTTACCTGTCTCACCTTTAACACGTGAGTATAGCTGTCTGATAGACATTACCTGTCTCACCTTTACTATGTAAGTATACCTGTCTGATGGACATTACCTGTCTCACCTTTAACACGTGAGTATAGCTGTCTGATAGACGTTACCTGTCTCACCTTTAACACGTGAGTATACCTGTCCGATAGACATTACCTGTCTCACCTTTACTACGTAAGTATACCTGTCTTATAGACATTATCTGTCTCACCTTTATCGCGTCAGTACACCTGTCTGGTAGATATAATCTGTTTCACCTTTATCACTTCAGTACATCTGTCTGGTAAAGAATCTCACCTATCTCACAGACAGACAGACAGACAGACAGACAGACAGACAGACAGACAGACAGACAGACAGACAGACAGACAGACAGACAGACAGACAGACAGACAGACAGAATGGATGGATTTCTTTAAGGACCGCCTGAGAGAAGACAGATAGGTCTATAAGTACTCACAGAACATTCTAGTGACATATCACAGGTACATGTACTCATATGATACTTGCAGACTGTGCAGCATACAGCACATCCAGCGAGCTAGCGCTGGCAACCAGATCTCCCTGTTCGATTCCTTCTACTTCGTGATTGTGACCTTCTCCACCGTGGGCTTCGGTGACATCTCCCCGGACATGTGGCTCAGTCGTCTCTTCATGATCATCATGATCTGCCTAGCCTTCGCCACCATCCCCAGCCAGGTAGGGTTCGAATCATAGCTCACACTTTATCGTCATCCCCAGCCAGGTAGGGTTCAAATCTTAGCTCATACTTCGCAACCATCCCCAGCTAGGTAGGGTTCAAATCTTAGCTCATACTTCGCCACCATCCCCAGCCAGGTAGGGTTCAAATCTTTTTTCATACTTTAACGTCACCCCCAGCCAGGTACGGTTCAAATCTTAGCTCACACTTTAGCGTCATCCCCAGCCAGGTACGGTTCAAATCTTAGCTTACACTTTAGCGTCATCCCCAGCCAGGTACGGTTCAAATCTTAGCTCACACTTTAGCGTCATCCCCAGCCAGGTACGGTTCAAATCTTAGCCCATACTTCAGCCTCATCCCCAGCCAGGTGCAGTTCAAATCTTAGCTCACACTTCAGCCTCATCCCCAGCCAGGTGCAGTTCAAATCTTAGCTCACACTTCAGCCTCATCCCCAGCCAGGTACAGTTCAAATCTTAGCTCACACTTTAGCGTCATCCCCAGCCAGGTACGGTTCAAATTTAAGCTCACACTTTAGCGTCATCCCCAGCCAGGTACGGTTCAAATCTTAGCTCACACTTTAGCGTCATCCCCAGCCAGGTACGGTTCAAATCTTAGCCCATACTTCAGCCTCATCCCCAGCCAGGTGCAGTTCAAATCTTAGCTCACACTTCAGCCTCATCCCCAGCTAGGTGCAGTTCAAATCTCAGCTCACACTTCAGCCTCATTCCCAGCCAGGTACAGTTCAAATCTTAGCTCACACTTCAGTGTCATCCCCAGCCAGGTGCAGTTCAAATCTGAGCTCATACTTCGGCGTTATCCCCAGCCAGGTGCAGTTCAAATCTTAGCTCACACTTCGGCGTTATCCGCAGCCAGTTACAGTTCCAATCTTAGCTCACACTTAGGCGTTATTGCCAGCCAAGTGTAGTTCTAATCTTAGCTCACACTTGAGAGTTATTTTCAGCCCGGTACAGTTCCTATTTTAGCTCACACTTCAGCGTTATTCCCAGTTAAGTGCAGTTCCAATCTTAGCTCACACTTCAGCGTCATCCCTAGCCAAGTGCAGTTCCTATCTTAGCTCAAACTTAAGCCTCATCCTCAGCCAGGTATAGTTCCAGTCTTAGCTATCGCTTCAGCCTCATCCCCAGCCAGGTATAGTTCCAGTCTTAGCTAACGCTTCAGCGTCATTCCCAGCCAGGTATAGTTCCAGTCTTAGCTAACGCTTCAGAGTCATCCCCAGCCAGGTATAGTCCCAGTCTTAGCTAACGCTTCAGCCTCATCCCCAGCCAGGTATAGTTCCAGTCTTAGCTAACGCTTCAGCGTCATCCCCAGCCAGGTATAGTTCCAGTCTTAGCTAACGCTTTAGCGTCATCCCCAGCCAGGTATAGTTCCAGCCTTAGCTAACGCTTCAGCGTCATTCCCAGCCAGGTATAGTTCCAGTCTTAGCTAACGCTTCAGCCTCATCCCCAGCCAGGTATAGTTCCAGTCTTAGATATCGCTTCAGCCTCATCCCCAGCCAGGTATAGTTCCAGTCTTAGATATCGCTTCAGCCTCATCCCCAGCCAGGTATAGTTCCAGTCTTAGCTAACGCTTCAGCCTCATCCCCAGCCAGGTATAGTTCCAGTCTTAGATATCGCTTCAGCCTCATCCCCAGCCAGGTATAGTTCCAGTCTTAGATATCGCTTCAGCCTCATCCCCAGCCAGGTATAGTTCCAGTCTTAGCTAACGCTTCAGCGTCATTCCCAGCCAGGTATAGTTCCAGTCTTAGATATCGCTTCAGCCTCATCCCCAGCCAGGTATAGTTCCAGTCTTAGATATCGCTTCAGCCTCATCCCCAGCCAGGTATAGTTCCAGTCACTGCGTGTCTCATTGATCAAACTCTGCACAGACTGGCTGTATTCGTTTAGCTCCTAAGTTTAAAAGCCCTTGCAGGAACCGCCCCAACCCCAGAAAATAATAGGGGCGGGGGGTGATAAGTAAGAAAAAAGGGGGAGGGGGGGGGGGTATGTGAGCTAAGTCAGTGATTTTATTGTAGCGGTAACCCTTGCTCATACTGCCTCAGCCACGGCGACCCCCATTATCTACGAGTACTGTAGTATAACTACACCAAGCCAAGTACAATCTTGTAGTGCGATCAGTTTTTTTATTATGGAGGAACACATTGCGACGAAGATGGCCTACTGACCCTACAATCTTGAGTTCGAATCTACATTAGGTCGGATTTATTTCAGAACGGTCTCCTATCACAGATCGATTAACCCTAAAATTAGCCTCAGGTAAAGTGCTGGGAAGTAAAAGCGGCCAGCATGATGTTGACCACATAACCCACCGAATGCCGAGTGTTGTATATCAATGTGAGTCTAGCGCCTTATGCTCGATACGCCACTGATATAGAAATGATGCTTAACCTTTTCTGACCTGACAGATTGAAGGAATGATCTCCATCTACCGGGAGCGAGAGAAGGCAGGAGGGGAGTACAGCCGCTGGTTCACCACCCAGAAACACGTGATCGTCTGCGCCAGTTACCTGACCCAGGACACGCTCATGGACTTTCTCAACGAGTTCTTTGCCAACCCGAAACTCGAGGTGACTTCGTTTGTTACGTTTGTCTCCAAAACTTCATCGCCGTTGATGTTCATTTTATTATCATCATTGTGTATTTGACATCATAACCAATATCGGTATGATCATCATCATAAAGCGTCATAACCATTATACCAAAGTTCAGATTACACCCATCGACATCAAAGATATATTTGCTCTTTATGGTGCCTTCATTGGTCATGTCTATCAGCTTGAAATCTGCAGCTGTGGAATACGGACAGAATTCACCTTAAACAAGTGAAATAGCACCATAGGTTATAGAAATTTATATTAACTATTATTGCTGTGTTTTTTTTGTTCGACCTTTTCTTCTTCTTCAGCATTTCGAACCCTAGAGGTCTATTGCTGCAGATATCACCAGCTCCCATTCATCTCTCTGGTTGGCCTTCTCTTTCCAATTGGTGACACCAAGTGTTCGCAGGTCTGTCTCTCCATCGTCTTTTTGGTCTGCCTCGTGGTCTACGACCATTCATATCCCTTTTGTATACAGTTTTCACTTCTCTGTCATCTGACATTCTCCTTATATGCCCCAACCATTTCAGTCTATTAGCTCTCATGATGCCAGTTATCAATGTTCGACTTATGCTTAGCTAATATACATTTGTGTCACATATGGTGCTATTTCAATGGTTTGAGATTAATTATGTCCTTATTTCATAATTGTGGATTTCAAGCTTACGATAGACAAGGCCAATAAAGACATCTTTTTTAGGGATGGCTAGCTGGTCATGTATCTTACATTTGTTTCCACAGACAAGCACACACGCCGTTTGGAGTTGACAGGTTCGATTCCTGGCACCATAACTATAGCTTTCCTTTTTTATGTTGTTTAATGTATCCTTCTAAGTTTCTACTTCCTTCTATAAGTGCCCACCAATACACTGTCTATTAGTATTTTATATATATATATAACTGGTCTATAGGGACAGTTTCAATGTCTTCTCAGCAGGTTCGGTAGAATAAACTGGGATCTCTACCTAGAGGTGCCGGTGTTGGTCCTCGGCTGTTCCTGTTCCGGGTTCTTGTATTGATTTTGGGAGAGAAACTAAAGCCTCCTGCCCGCAGACGTGTAGTAAAAGGCGGCAAATAAACGTTTTGCTTAGATCGGATGTGTCGAGCTGAAAGGCGCATATATCAAAGCCTAGCTGTAAACCACAATATAAAGGTGGTAGATAAGTAGGTGCTTTGCTGGAGGGGGGGGGGTGTATTGTCAAGTTCAACCAGCATACCCGAAGAAGGAGCTTTAGGTTATAATTATGACCAGGTTATGTGCCCCTATAAAATAGCTTAGCACTGCACGCCACCAAGAGGTCTGAAAAAGACTTCTGCAGTGTTGTTGCGATCAAAGGAGACAGACCCAAATACTGCCCCCTCCTCTCTTTACCAACGACGAACTCGTCTACCGGCGAGCCAATAATTGACGCCGTCGCTGATGACAAAACAAATTGTCAAAAGACATTTCATGGAGGAACGCAGACGAAGACCTAGGATGGCAATGCTTCATTCTTGTGGTAGATGTTTCATTGTCAACAGACTTCACTGCAGTGGCAAGATCGTTGTGATTACCATTTAAGACAATATTCTTTATCTGTATTATCAATTGTCTCTCATCAGGAACGGACAGTGATATTGTTGTGCTGTCAGGAGTTGGACAGCAGCAAAAGGGTCATCATCACTGACCCACGCTGGTCTGAGAAGGTCATCTACATGAAAGGATCGGCCCTAAAAGATATGGACCTTAAAAGGTGCCATGCTCAGAAAGCGTACGCTTGCTTTTTCCTGGCTCCCCGACCTACTCAAGACAAAGCAATGGCGGTAAGATGTTGGTTGCAATTCACTGAGGCTAGGGTATATTAGGGTTTATTGCGAAATCTGATATAGTCCGTTGCAAAAGTCGTACCCAACTTTAAAAATCTGTAAAGCTGGAAGCATTCGGTGTCATTTATTGAAATTTGCCATGCAACCTGCTAATAATTCTTTTCTTAAAAGCATTTATTTTTAATGTAGACACGTATCTAGTTTTATTTTGCATTTTTCGCGTTATGTTAAAATACGGGCAGCGATTAAAACCAAACCATGAGCATATTTATAGTCCACTGAGTAAAGGAAACTCTCCAAAACATCCATTTGCATGTGTTTCATAGACGTTTCACTCTCAGCTAGTTTTCTCCGACATTAGCCTCCCGTGTATTACGTGAACACACATTTTTCTTTTACACGAGATAGGTTATTAAAATAATCATCACTTATCATTGCACATGTGAAGTGACTTCCAAAGAATCTCCACGCATGTGTAAATTACTGTGTGTTAAATTTTTTAGAGGTACACAAATTATTAGACAAACAAAGATCTAAGAAATTCGCCGCTTTAAGAAAACGGCAGCACCTGTGTAATTGTAAATTTAAAAATCATAATAACTCTTCAAAAACTTGTGCTGATCCGTGTAGGAGCTTTCCAGATATTTGTATGATTTCAGGTGTTTGTTTGTTTCACTCCTGGCCTAAAACTTTCATTTCTGTGTTAGTCGTTAGCCGAGATCCCAACACCACGGCAGACGGGTCTCCACACAACTACCACACCCTGTGCCTGCGGAAATCACACACAATTTCCGTCAATATCCCATTTGTAAACAAATTAACAGAAAAACCTTCCAGTCTGAGCAAAATCCTGAAGCTTGCACATGCAAAGAGAAAATGCATAAAATAGCTGCATGTTGTACCGATACCAACGGCTGCACGCCAGTATTACAGCTCACTGTTGGCGAAAACGGTAATCGATCATCTGCCATTCTAGCGGAGTCCACAACACGCTGTGGGCACAACAGCAAAACATTTCATATGAAAACCACAGCTCACAGTGTCGCAGGCAACACAGTGACTGAGCCATGGAACCTTTTGATAACGGGTCCAGAAATAGGGAGCTTGCATCAGCAAATTTTGTTTCAGCTTCAGCAGTCAGCCGCCATTGGCCATTTCCAAGCCTCGAGCCTAATTGTGAATGCACGTCAAGTATGCAGGTAAGCGACACAAACAACCACCACTAGACTTCCGCGGGTATTCAAATAGGCTGAGCTACTATTTTTCTACAGAATTATAGATAACTGCTCTCTACAGATGAACAGTTAATTAACAGTTAATCTTTCCTTCACAAAACTATAGTTAATCTATTCCCTACAGAACTGCAAATAATCTCTTCTGTACAGAACTACAGTTACACTTTTCAGAATTAGAATTTAACCATCTTCCACAAAACTATAGTTAAATTATAGAAATACTGTTAATGGGGAGGGCAAAAAAAAAAAAAAAGGGGGGGGGGGATCCACTAGAACAATACAAACGAAAATTGTTAGCCTTACAAAAATAACCAACCTGTGACAAAATCGATTTTTTTAAGAAAATATAAGGCTGTACAATTTAGTCACTGTTTAACTAACTGATCATATCTTCTTTCCTAAATCACACAAGAAGGGTTTCTTCACAGTAGCGTGCAAGTATGAATCAGAAAGACACAGCTTAAACATCGTTTCTAACATAAGCTCTGTAAAAATCTTTATTCGTCAATTTTTGTAGCTGTGAGTTCTCTTTCATCTCCTGGCTGCCAGCCTGCACTTCTTGCCACCAACGCAACTCAAGGAGTCGCATCTGGATGGCAATACAGTGCTCGTCGAAAACATCTGGTTCAACCTCCTTCTTTGCGTTCATCAGCCGTACACTCTGGTGTAAAGTCACAGTTGTTCGTCTACTCCTGGACTTGGTGGGTTTGAGCCATGACTTGAGTATTGCGTGCACATCCGTCTAACGGATTTGCCTTATCTGTCTGCAGATCGTTGGTCCTTACCCTCTCAAGCGCCTACACTCCAACTTTGAAGGATAATTTGATCCTGTCTATGTTGGCCAGGACATCAGTTGGTGTTTCTATGACGATCGCGGAGAGGTGTGGGCAGGTCTGGACCAGTGTGTGCCTGGGTTCTGGTACACCACCACGTGTGGTTTATCGCCTTTGCATCCTGTTCAACTTCCAAATAACTGCCTGTTTCAGAAGCCGTTCCAACAAATTTACTCACCTTCGCCCCAGTGTGGGACACACATTTTGATTATTTTAAAGTCCCACCCCGGATGGTGTAAGGGGCTCTAATATAACTAACGGTTTAACGGGATCTCTGGGACTGTCAGATTTCCGAACCAATACACAAATAAGGCAAGAATCCAGGCAAGAGTATGTGTCTAATTTTATACGAAAACGCCGCTGGAACTATGTCGGCTACGCCCTTAGAATGGATAAATCAAGACTTCCTTACCAAGCCCTCATTTGGACACCACAGGGGAAAAGATCTCGTGGAAGACCAAGGGAAACTCTACGTAGAACTATCATCAGGGAAGGCTCGCTCATGGGCCACTCAAACTTCCAAGACCTACAACGGATTGCAACGGACCGCCGTGCATGGAGAGTCACGACCTCTGCCCTATGTGCTGCAGTCAAAGTTGGCTGTAACTTTGCACATTAGAATTCTTACATGTTGTGTGCGCATTAGAATTCTTACATGTTGTGTGCACATTAGAATTCTTACATGTTTCGTGCACATTAGAATTCTTACATGTTGTGTGCACATTATAATTCTTAAATGTTAGGTGCACGTTGAAATTCTTACATGTTGTGTGCACATTATAATTCTTACATGTTGGGTGCACATTAGAATTCTTACATGTTGTGTGCACATTAGAATTCTTACATGTTGGGTGCACATTAGAATTCTGACATGTTGTGTGCATATTAGAATTCTTACATCTTGTGTGCATATTCGAATTCTTGCATGTTGTATGTTTATTAGAATTCTTACACGTTGTGTGCACATTAGAATTCTCACATGTTGTGTGTTTATTAGAATTCTTACACGTTGTGTGCACATTAGAATTCTTACATGTTGTGCGCACATTAGAATTCTTACATGTTGTGAACTAAAGCTTATGTTTGATAGCTTCGCTTAAAAATCGTCTAAAGGCATACCGAGACGATGTTTCCACATGTGAGCCGAAACCGTAGTAATAAAAGATCTTAAAAATTGTGCCAATAGCTTCAGATAAAGCCCATTTGGGGAGGATACTAGCCTTATGCTAAGAAGAGAAAATGCAACCTGAGAACTTTAAATTATTGTAAGGCAGACCGTGCCGTGCTATCATACAGAAATGCGGCTGCATCATATTTACTGTAAGGAAGTGGGGGGGCGGTAGGAAGGGGGGGGGGGGTGATTATCAGATTAATTAAAATACAATTTGAACTTTTGATGATCTGACAGCGCGAAGCCAAAGGCATTTCCGGTCAGCACAATGAAACATCTCATACAAAGTAAATTCATTCCCACACTATGCTATCAGTGCCAAACGTGGTCACTCACAATAAAACAAAAAAATAAAATTAGTAAACACAGAAATTGGGTGTCTGAGGACGGCTGTAGGGGTGACCAGGAGAGATAAAATCAGGAATGAGATCATGCGAGATAAAGTCGGCACAGAACCAATACTTAATTACATACAACGACAGCACCTCAAATGGTCTGCCCACTTGAAGAGAATGCCTTCTGATGCTATACCATACAAGACACGTAAGAGAAGAGGAGAGGGGCGTAAAACAAGGGGTAAACCAAAAACAAAGTAGAAAAATAACATCAGAGAAACTGTACAGCAACACGATGTGTCTAAGGTCGAAGCAGCTAAAAGAGCACTAAGCAGGACCTTATATCTCCATCGACACCCGAAGCGATAAAATAGGACGTAAAGAAGAAGAAGAAGAAGAAGAAGAAGAAGAAGAAGAAGAAGAAGAAGAAGAAGAAGAAGAAGAAGAAGAAGAAGAAGAAGAAGAAGAAGAAAAAGAAGAAGTAGAAGCTTGAACGGAAGCTCCAACAGTCGAATACGTAGAGCACCGCTCTTCTGATCAGGTAGCTTCTGCAGCGTGCTTTGTTCTTAGCGTATTGGTGCTACCTTTCCTTTGGAGTAAACAAGGTAGGCCGAGTGAAGGATCGTGTTGTACGGGCAACATATGGTCACTACAGTACTGCCCACACTGTGCTATGGGCTGGTCAAGCTAGTCACGCCATCGCTATGGCCTGTGATTCCCTTGGACAACCTGATATTGTCGTCTGGAGGGACGGAAAAGGGCTAACACGACATATTAAGATCTAAGTTCATTTGTGATTCAATGTAGATATATTTTATTCAGTGAGTGCCATGGTGGTAATTGGAAAAATTGTTATTTCTTTTCATTAATCCCCCTAAACATGCCATTTGATCATTTACTAATGCTTAACTACAAACACAATTTATTTTTAGAGCGGTATTAAAATGTTTTTCCTTAACAATCCCTGGTCACTTTGGTGTATCATATGTGTATGTTGCGCAGCAGTTGAATTAATTATGGTTTGTGGTAATGTGTTACACTTGTGACGTTTCAAAACTGTACAACTCCCCGTTAGGCCTCAAATGCTAAAACTTATGTAATTCAAAGAGGTAACGAGCACACAAGCAATATACTCCCCACTGCTTGCCTGGCATATTTCACTATCTCGTCAGATGAATTAGTACAGGGTTTTTATGAACACAATAAAAGTGCATTAAAATGAATCCTCTCCAGTAAAATACACACAACACGTAGTCTGTCGTTAGACCAGATCTCAAGATGGCGATTATTATCCCACAGGCAGAAGGGGATGGTCCTGGAACCATGGCAACAGTTGTATGGTCGACATTCAGCCAATGAGATCTTCCATATTCAGGCTCAGAAGAGCGCCATCTTCAGTCAGTATCTCGGACAGACGTTCCCCAAAACCTCGGCAGATGCGCACTACAGGTGAGAGATAAAGTGGTATCTGAGTGTGTGTGTGTGTGTGTGTGTGTGAGAGAGAGAGAGAGAGAGAGAGAGAGAGAGAATAGAGGATTAGAGCTAGGAATAAAGCCAGTCTTAAAGGTCATCAAAGAACAACAAATGAAGTGGTTTGGACACTTGACAAGAATGCCCAGGTACTATCTACCATAGTGAGCTATACTGAAATGTTACAACGGGTATAGAGCAAAGGAAAGACATCGTTAATATGCAGTGACAGCATTAAGAACAGCCTTACAGAAATGAACATGAGTTTTAATAGTGCTCTTAACCCAACTCATCATCGAACATCTCCTTCCGACACTTCATTGAGGTACAAGGTGGAAGAGAAGATGAAGAAGAAGAAGTCGGTCTATGCCAGTGATAACTTATCAAAAATCCTCAAGTCTTATTCTACTTTACAGTGTTTCAATTAAAAACGCAGGGATTTATGAAATAAACAAACACAATGTAAAACGGACCATTAGGAGCTACCTCACACGGATAGCCGGTCAACTTGCGTTCGCGGCTGACTCCTTGGTAATCAGCTGGTCTATGAAACAGTTAATGAAGTCGTGTATGTGATGCCCAACTCTGACTTTTTTAGACACATTCTACACTCGATGTGTGATTTTGTCAGCTTCTCAGGACTTTATCAGAAACTATTTGAGCTTGGTTTGTCATTTCGAGAAGTATTTCTACTGAATAGAATACCATGGGCCGACATAAGGAAAAATTTTGACATCCTACTAAAAGTGAGTATTGAGAACTGGCTGACAAACAGCATCCTGTCCCGGAAGTTGAGGTATTTCGGCCATGTTGAACAACATGCTTGCTTGAAGAGAACGATGATGGAGGATACGATTTAGGGAAAAGAGGCAGACCTAAAAAAAGTGGATACAAGATATTGAGGATGCATTGGTTATGAAGGCAACTGGGCTTGAGAACTGGTTAGAGGTCGAGAGACTTTCAGGCATTACGTGAACGAGAGCCATGATGTGTAAAGGACAGTCTTATTGATGAGGGCTTTTCCTGGATTAAGTGTAACTTGTGTGTTCTCCACAGGTTTGGTGTGGCGCTGGTCGCTGTTCTGGATTCAGAAACCCTCAGCCCGAGGCTGCAGCTCAACCCTGGACCCCATTACAAAATAAAAGTAAGTGAATTGTTACAAATGTAAACACACACAGAGAGACAAACGCAGACAACTACACAGAGAGACACACGCAGACAACCACACACAGAGACACACGCAGACAACCACACATACACAGTCTCATATGTACAGTCACACATACACAGACACACACAAAAAGAAGACGAAGAAGAAGAAGAAGAAGAAGAAGAAGAAGAAGAAGAAGAAGAAGAAGAAGAAGATGATGATGATGATGATGATGATGATGATGATGATGATGATGATGATAAAGAAAGAAAAAGAAGAAAAAGAAGAAGAAGAAAAAGAGGAAGAAGAAGAAGAAGAAGATGAAGAAGAAGAAGAAGAAGAAGAAGAAGAAGAAGAAGAAGAAGAAGAAGAAGAAGAAGAAGAAAAGAAAAAGAAGAAGAAGATGTGCTAAATATGATGATTATTTTGTTTGGAGTAACGGACATTTTTCTACGTCTTTATGAGTAGTGGGCCTCTAGGGCTAGGCTTATATTTTATAGTCCAGTCGGCACTTTGGTGGGTATGTGGTCAACGTCACACCGGCCGCCTTTACTTCCTAGGACTGTACCTGGTACCCATTCGAGGGTGGGTCGACCTAGCAGTCAGGGTCATTTCTGAAAAGGGTCCGAAAAGAACCCATTACCTTTCTCAGGCGAGCTTCTAGATATTATTATATACATGTACGGCGAAGTTCACAGTTCTCTTGTGTCGATACAACAGGCGGCAGACATGTTGTTCTACATTAGCCTCAACAGAGAGGAGTACTCCAAAATCAGCTCCTACGCCCTGAAGAAGGTCTCTCGTTGTCAGACAAGCCACTTTGGTAAGTAGATGTCTCTGGTTGTCAGACAAGTCACTTTGGTAAGTAGATGTCTCTGGTTGTCAGACAAGTCACTTTGGTAAGTAGATGTCTCTCGTTGTCAGACAAGCCACTTTGGTAAGTAGATGTCTCTCGTTGTCAGACAAGCCACTTTGGTAAGTAGATGTCTCTCGTTGTCAGACAAGCCACTTTGGTAAGTAGATGTCTCTCGTTGTCAGACAAGTCACTTTGGTAAGTAGATGTCTCTCGTTGTCAGACAAGTCACTTTGGTAAGTAGATGTCTCTCGTCAGACAAGTCACTTTGGTAAGTAGATGTCTCTCGTTGTCAGACAAGTCACTTTGGTAAGTAGATGTCTCTCGTTGTCAGACAAGCCACTTTGGTAAGTAGATGTCTCTCGTTGTCAGACAAGTCACTTTGGTAAGTAGATGTCTCTCGTTGTCAGACAAGTCACTTTGGTAAGTAGATGTCTCTCGTTGTCAGACAAGTCACTTTGGTAAGTAGATGTCTCTCGTTGTCAGACAAGTCACTTTGGTAAGTAGATGTCTCTCGTTGTCAGACAAGCCACTTTGGTAAGTAGATGTCTCTCGTTGTCAGACAAGCAACTTTGGTAAGTAGATGTCTCTCGTTGTCAGACAAGCAACTTTGGTAAGTAGATGTCTGCCATGTCTAAATGATTCACGTCTTTCTGTGGATGGCTTGCAGCTGTTATAATAAGTTAGTGAATGCGTTTAACAGTTTGACGATCCTTAAGTTCCACAGTTTGGTCTATTTGGTGGACGGTTTATTTCGTTTTAAAAAAGTCTTTGTTTTGGTTTCCGGACGAGAGTCACACGGAGGAAGAGATACTGGCGTCACCGGGTAATATTCCTAAAGACAGCAGTGGTACACTGTAGCTAACTTTCCTTGTGAAGACGGCACAGATGTGCGTTTATAAACATCGAAACTTTGAAAGGCAAGGACAAACTGCTGAACGTAAAATAACCCACAAAACACACAAACAGTCCACACACACACACACACACACGTACAAACCATCGGGCAGTTTGTAACGTCCTGTATGGCATATGGAAGGCATGTGTGTAACAACTGACTGTATCTTTCATTCTCTCAGACATGCAGCATCCATCGGAAGACAAGATGTGTTCAGAAACAGACACTTCGTTTCGCTCCAGAGATCCGGACAAATCTTTTAGTCACCGAGAAGCAGACAACAGCAGCATGTTTGGCGCCATCTCGGGTCTTCTCAGCCACAACCTGACCCGCGCAGGCTGCAGCCGCAGCAACGCCAGAACCTGCATGGGGGACACAAGTGTGACGAGTGATGCAGAAGATGGCAACCGCAGTAATGAAGACGACACCCTGAACATCCCGAGCACAGCCAGGTCGACTAGTTCCAGCAGTTCAGCTCCTCTACTCAGGGGAGACAGTGAGTGCAGCAGTCAGGGAGGAGAACCCAGGAGGAAGTTTGGCAGGGCACATAAGCCGTTTGACCTCAGCGTTAGCACCGATGACGACATGAATATGTCGCAGGAAGGACCTCAGATTGACCTCAGGCACGGTGAAGGTCGTGTGTTGCAATTTTACGAGGATATGGAACAGTAAGTGACTGTTGTCTCTGTTCACACGGAGACACATACGCATACGTACACACATATCCACCCACAAACACCACACACTTTTTTGACACACATTCGCTTCTTTCTGCTCCGCATAAGCAATTTAAGCTTGTTCATCTAGTTCTTGTTCTCCTTGCCGCTCATGTTCTAATTCTTGTTCCTATACTTTTAATCTTCCTCTCTTTGTACTCATCTTCTTTTCTTACTCCTCCTTTTTCCTATTCTTTTCCTTCTACTTCTTGTTCCTTTTGTTGTTGATAATCTTCTTCTTCTTCTTCTTCCTATTCTTCTCGTTCTACTTCTTATTCTTTCTGTTGTTGATGATCTTCTTCTTGTTCTTCTTGTTCTTCTTCTTCTTCTTCTTCTTCTTCTTCTTCTTCTTCTTCTTCTTCTTCTTCTTCTTCTTCTTCTTCTTCTTCTTCTTCTTCTTCTTCTTCTTCTTCTTCTTCTTCTTCTTCTTCTTCTTCTTCTTCTTCTTCTTCTTCTTCTTCTTCTTCTTCTTCTTCTTCTTCTTCTTCTTCTTCTTCCTCGCCTTGTACATGGCCCCCTGTCCCTGTCTGTGATCAGTGACCAGACATGTTTGTCTACAACTACAGACTCACTATGGGAGCTCCTCCGATAACTACATGTACTGGAGTCGGGCGGGCCAGCTGTCACATCAGATCCGCGGTTCGAGATCCCTGTTGTTTGGAATGGGGGAAGGTCAGTTTATATTTCTTGTGTTTTCCAATGTTTCAGACAGACACATAATCAGACAGACACATGGTCAGACAGACACACAATCAGAGAGACACACAATCAGAGAGACACACAATCAGACAGACACACAATCAGAGAGACACACAATCAGAGAGACACACAATCAGACAGACACACAATCAGAGAGACACACAATCAGACAGACACACAATCAGAGAGACACACAATCAGAGAGACACACAATCAGAGAGACACACAATCAGAGAGACACACAATCAGAGAGACACACAATCAGAGAGACACACAATCAGAGAGACACACAATCAGAGAGACACACAATCAGAGACAGACACACAATCAGAGAGACACACAATCAGAGAGACACACAATCAGACAGACACACAATCAGAGAGACACACAATCAGACAGACACACAATCAGAGAGACACACAATCAGAGAGACACACAATCAGAGAGACACACAATCAGAGAGACACACAATCAGAGAGACACACAATCAGAGAGACACACAATCAGAGAGACACACAATCAGACAGACACACAATCAGAGAGACACACAATCAGAGAGACACACAATCAGACAGACACACAATCAGAGAGACACACAATCAGACAGACACACAATCAGACAGACACACAATCAGAGAGACACACAATCAGAGAGACACACAATCAGAGAGACACACAATCAGAGAGACACACAATCAGACAGACACACAATCAGAGAGACACACAATCAGAGAGACACACAATCAGACAGACACACAATCAGACAGACACACAATCAGAGAGACACACAATCAGAGAGACACACAATCAGACAGACACACAATCAGACAGACACACAATCAGAGAGACACACAATCAGAGAGACACACAATCAGAGAGACACACAATCAGAGAGACACACAATCAGAGAGACACACAATCAGAGAGACACACAATCAGAGAGACACACAATCAGAGAGACACACAATCAGAGAGACACACAATCAGAGAGACACACAATCAGAGAGACACACAATCAGAGAGACACACAATCAGAGAGACACACAATCAGAGAGACACACAATCAGAGAGACACACAATCAGAGAGACACACAATCAGAGAGACACACAATCAGAGAGACACACAATCAGAGAGACACACAATCAGAGAGACACACAATCAGAGAGACACACAATCAGAGAGACACACAATCAGAGAGACACACAATCAGAGAGACACACAATCAGAGAGACACACAATCAGACAGACACACAATCAGACAGACACACAATCAGAGAGACACACAATCAGAGAGACACACAATCAGAGAGACACACAATCAGAGAGACACACAATCAGACAGACACACAATCAGACAGACACACAATCAGAGAGACACACAATCAGAGAGACACACAATCAGAGAGACACACAATCAGAGAGACACACAATCAGAGAGACACACAATCAGAGAGACACACAATCAGAGAGACACACAATCTGAGAGACACACAATCAGAGAGACACACAATCAGAGAGACACACAATCAGACAGACACACAATCAGAGAGACACACAATCAGAGAGACACACAATCAGAGAGACACACAATCAGAGAGACACACAATCAGACAGACACAC